AACTGTAGTTCTCCGAAACTGTGGAGTGCATCCACACGTGCTCACGTGTAACGCCAGGTAGCCATGCTTACCATTACGGACGTTTTTTGCGTGTTACCGTAAGCATCCGTTTGGGCATCTGCCAACTAGCCTACCTAAGGTGCCTAAGACGTGCCGTAAGACAATGTGATCCTGTACGCCATGCACACCACCCAGTCGATAAACTGCATCTTGTGTTTGACAAACGTTGTTCTTGTGGCGAAAGGAATAGCCACACGCAGAGCTGGCCTGGAAAGTGGAACGCGACACGTAACGTTCGCAGCTAATTCGACTCCTTCGTTGTAAATGCGCGTGAGAAAAGGTTGCCTTGCCGATGCTTTAGCTCTGGAACGTTGTGCCCCGTTCTCCTCACTTTTGGAGAATTTGTGTCCCTGGGACGCCTACTTTAGAGGTCTACTTTTTCCAAGTAAAGGAACTCCCTAGTTTTTGGCAGTTATCAATGTGACATTACAAAAGCGCCTAGAAACAGATCCCAGCAGTACGGGAGGGTACGAAAAAATATATATATTTTTTTTAATTTGGAAAAGAAAGTGCGCTTTTGTGATGACGATTGATTGATGATGGTGATCGCTTCAATGCTCTCTGTCTATCAACGAATCGTTCATGCAAACAATCAATTAGTGGTAATCTTAGTCATGTGCCAGCAACCTTTCTAATAACACCATGGCAGCTTGGAAGGGCTTCACGAGTTTGCAACGTGACGCTGAGCACGTAAGCTTCAACAGGGCGGGTCACGACATATGGACGTCCCCTCTAGATCTCCACGTGGTGGAGGAGAGTATACTTGTCAGTTAAAACGTCGATGAGCAAGCAGGTACCCTGCCACTATAGAGGGTTATAGCTGACGAGAACAGGTCATCATTTTGGGGCGAAAATCACACCGGGAAGAGATTACACGCCTCGTTATGTCACTGACGTACTATCGAAATTCTCACTCCTGATGTGTGGGAAGGCTTGCACGATATTAACTTATCTGGGGCTGCTGAAAACGTCATTCACCCCTGACAGACACGCAAATGACACCAAAACACACGCGGGGGCAGTTTGAGGCACGGCTGTCCAGCTATGGCCTGGTCAATCAGCAAGCGCTGATCAACCAGGTTAAACGGCCAGCTAAGACCAGTTGGGCCTTCGACTGAGGGTACCCTTATAAGAATGGCTTAAAATTCATCGAAACGTTAGTGTTGTTTTTGTTTCCAAAGTAGGTGCGTTTGGTGTAAATAAGTGAAAGTACCACGCAGTCATATTTCTATAACAGTAATGCTTTCTACTTGTAAATTGTTCTTGATCTAACAAACCCTTTTAGAGTAATTAGCTTGAGCGAAAAAAGTACTCTCACCATGTCAGCGGTCACGTTTTCTTTGTCGGGAAAAGCGTGCTTGCAGTAAGCGTTGGGCGCTACTTCCATGCCGGGATATATTCCCTCATTTCTGTGTCCTGTGTTGCTTAACTGCCAGCAGCTCCATCCTCGCAATCTGCAATGTGTTTTAAGCAAACACCTTTACCATGAAAACCTTAGGGGCGGGGATAAATTTGAAAAAGCTACAGGTTTCCCGCGCAGGTGAGAGTTTTCTGGCGCTTTACGTGAAAAAAAAACACTATATATTCACTAGGTACTCCAAATTATTCGGGGGCTACTGACAGTACGCTTAAATCCAATAAAGCACGTTTACTTGTGATGTGTTCCCATCCAACTGCAGCTGCCTTCGCCAGGAACGAAACACGTGTACTCGAGCGTAAAAGCCACACCTAGACTGCTCAGTAAAGTTCGCCGAAGCGTGGATGAAGCTTGGTAGCGTTTGTAGCTACAACGAACAGGCTTTTGTTGGTATGCTCCGAGGCAATGCATGGAGGGAGTATTTGTATTAAGAGAATCGAATGGAAGAGGGAAATTAAAATATTTAGGTAGCACGTATATGGAATAGTTTGAAACAGGGGTCTTCCCCCTTTTCAGGAGCAGGGATGAAATGCATAAAGGTTGAAAAGAGGTGGCCAGATTAGAAATTGAGGGAGGAAGAGGAATTATTGGGCGATTTTGATTGATTGATTTGTGGGGTTTAACGTCCCAAAACCACCATCTGATTATGAGAGACGCCGTAGTGGAGGGCTCCGGAAATTTCGACCACATGGGGTTCTTTAACGTGCACCCAAATCTGAGTACACGGGCCTACAACATTTCCGCCTCCATCGGAAATGCAGCCGCCGCAGCCGGGATTTGAACCCGCGACCTGCGGGTATTGGGCGATTTTACAATGACAAAAAAAACTGGCACATAAATTAGGTTTTCTTTCAGCACACATGTCACAAGCTTCGAATTTACAAACACTGGTTACAAGCAAAACTACATTTCAGGTCCTTCGATACGGTGTCCCTCATAACCATCGTGGCTTCGAAACGTACTACCTCACACATCATTATTATAAGTCAAAACTGCCATGTAGGCCTTCCAAAAAGAAGTGACAAGGGGCAGGGGAACACTTTGACGTCGTACCAGTGGCTGCTGTGTGCCGTCGGTTGGCTTAAAGCGCCCAAAAATATATATAATTAAGGCTCAAAGGCTGGACAGCGACACAAAAGTGTTAACTTCTTTCGTCGGTGCCATGAAAGGAGCCACACTTCTGTTTACTTTTTTTTATACTGACGTGTCGCGACCCACGATGACGTGCGAAGCAATGAAGTTACTTCGCATCTGGTTGTGGAGAAACTGTTGAAAAGTACTGCATAGTTGGAGAAAACCTGACTGTACCCCCGTACTCACATGTTATTCATGTCGCTGTTCGATTGAGTTAAACCATCGAAGGCTAATAATATTGCAGAGACAAGAAAACGACGAATCGTGCATGTTGTGATGAATGTGGAGGTATCCATTCAGATGAACGTTTGGGCACGAGCCTACACGAAGCCTTGAGATTTTGGGACAACGATGCAATGCTGAGCATGCCCGCGGCAAATAATAAATAAAAGATGGTCGGAATGGTGACAGAAAATTAGGAAGAAACGGAAAAAATAGGGGGAGGGGGGAATGAGGACATTTTGTTGTGAACGGGCAGATCACTAGACTGTGAGATCATGGTTTTTTTTTAACCTACAGTAATATTAATTTATCGAAGTTAACATGGTATTAGGCCAACAAGAAAAGTAAATATATATCGAGCCTGCTGGAACACGTGACATCAAAAAGGACGCTCAGAGCACGCCTCCGTCCGAATGGCGCACTGAACCAACGCCGCGGATTGGCCAAAGCGTAGGACAGACGCGCTGATGCCATCAGCTCGGCATAATTTTCTTGAAAGAGTTTTCATGAGTTTTAATTTTCTGGTAAAACAAAAAGAGAGTACTCGGCCGAAGAGCTTCGAAAAGGAACAAAAGCTTCATTTGGTACTTTCTGCACAAAGAATTTTCGACAGATCTCACGCATTGTGAGAATACGTTTCACGCGAAGCAGTTAGCTTGTAGTTGCGTATGCCGAGTTTTTTTTATCATTGAGCCGAGTATTTTTCGGGTGGGGTGATGTCTGCCTATACATTCACTATAGGTTTGTGCATATCGTGCAATTACCAAGCACGTCGACTTCACTACATGTTGTGTATAACGGATAACTTATCTAGTATGGCCGAAAGGCCGATTCACCTTTGGGTAGCACACAAACAAAAAAGACACAAAGGAATAAGAGGGGATGAGCACATGAACCCGTAGCCACGAAACGTCACCATTGGAACATGGCAATCTCTTTCTTTCGTGTCTGGATAACTTGTGGTCTGACGCGACGCCGGCAATGACGTCACAGCAAAGCCGTCACATTGGTCAAAACGAAGGGGGAGCACTGTTCAACTTTATATTTCAGCGGGGACGAGCTACGCCAGACAAAAGCTTCTCGGGCCGTGTAGCAGCACACATGTTTCTTACGCGTTATAACATGAAAATACAGCACTGATAACGCAACCGACGCTCGGCACGCATCACCACCACAACCGATCGGGATGAAGCGGCGAGTAATATTCCAAACTATGTGCGACGATAGGCCTTGCAGCTATTCTGATTTATGAGAAGGGAGAAGTTTACATCAGCTGTGTAAAGCTTTTAAGAAACAGATAAGCAGGTTTATCTTAGCGGATTAACGTGATATTCTTGGCCCATGCTTGTTCTAGCTGTTTCCTTAGCGCAGGTAAGGAAGAGTAACTACATACGGCATGTCACAGACCATGCGAGAATGTCGAAATTCGAGTACCAGAAACTAACGTGCGGAGCTTCTACTGACACTTCCAGCGGAAGCGAGGGCTTTACGTCGCTTGTACTCGGCTCGTGGGGCGGGCAAGTTCGGCGTGGAGGCTGTGCGGAGAGTCTCTGAAGGGAGGCGCGTCTCATAAGCAACAACGCGGTTTTTTTTTTTTTTGCGGACACCCGACATTTTACATTGAACTACGGGAACTTCGCTTTAAAAAAAACAAAAAAAACGAGTGCGCCACGAAATGTCAAGGGCGCTATGTTCAATGCAGATAACTGTCCTAAAGTCAACTAACGAAGCCGACAGATAACAAAGCCGAGAAGCCATGAGGAACATTACTTGTGGTGTCTTATTACGCGTAGTGTAGTGATTGTCCACTGAATTGAAGGAATTAAAGTGGGGGAAAAATCGCTCCTTCCTTCGGTGGGATTCGAATTCACGAACTTTTCTGTTAATAACAGATGAAAAGAGGTCCTCTAACCATCTCACTTTTTTGCTGTCCTAAAGTCAATATTTGAGGTGCTAATTAACAAGTTTGAGTTAAATAATACTTTAAATATGCTGTTTTAGCTTCTGCTAGGTAGTGCCACCTCGACGTAGAGTTCGTGAGATAAAATGACAAGGAGCCTTACTGTTCTGAAATTTTATTAAAATCTGTCGTGTCATAAAAAGAAAACGTCCTAAATATGTATGTATTGCAGGAGGATCACTCTTGCCTTCTGATTGTCTGATTTCGGCACTCGTTGGGTTATGTACCGAATACTAAACTTCGCTGTGGCTCCTGTTATTTATGTTGAAATGAACGTTTATTTTCCATAATACCACCACCGGTTGCCGAACCGTTCAGGCCTTTTTCTACGCGGAGATGTACGTTCCCCCTGATCACGTGTTTGTGTGCTAGACGCTGTAGTGCTACAATCACAGCGACACTCGGTGCTGGCAGTGGTGGGCGTTGTTGTCGTCGTTGTTGTCGTCGTTGTTGCTTCAGTATCAGCAGTTACCGTCATTGTAGTTGGCTTTTGTGATGGCATGACAATTTTTCCTTCCCCACAAACACCTTGAATGCAAACCTGGAGGATTAAAAGTAAAAATAAAGATCGATTACACTTTCATGAAAAAAAAAAAACACGTAGCTGTGGCTTACGCCAGTACAGTGCTGGTAGCCTCTAGCGGACGATCATCCTTAACATACACTCCAAGCAAACACCGTTTTTCTCTACTAATGGGCATCAAAACGAGCTCTGGAACTTCTAACATTCTCCATCTTTACAGTTGAATTCGTGGTCGTGAGGAAATAGGGACTCCATTCATCTAGTATATACATGAACTAACAGTTTCGGATTGTATCTATACCGTATCTATACCATGCTGTATCATGCCCGTTCTGCATTGTCTCCGATTAGTATATCATGCGTGATCAACTGATTTAACCTCGATTATACGTGTCCGACTGGGCATTGAAGAAAGCAGCGTGCCGGCCAAAAGCCCGCAATACGCAGTTTCAATGCGTAACGCGGACATTGTCCACGCGTTTCATTAAGAAATGAGTGGGGAAGAGAAAATGGCGCTTGTTGGGTGGACAGTGAAGGCGAGAAAAAAACCGCTCTAATCGAAGCTGTTGAGCCATTTCTAACAGTCTGGCTTGTCATCAAAAGCTGAGGACGTTGCCCAGCGGAGTGGCTCGCTGGTGCTGTCACGTTCCCCGAACCGAACTACTTGCTCTCACTTTGTCTGATAACCGTGCATCATCGATAACGGTCGCACGCGAAGAAAACTAAACCTTCACCGTCTAGAGTTGCGTCTTCGAAAAAAAAAACTATGAGATTGCTGCGTTTGCTCCTTCTCATGCTTGTTGCTTTACACGCAGCGATAACAAAACACACAAAAGTATATGATTCGCTCATGCGAGCAACGCGCGGTACAGTTAAGTGAGCTTATCCTCGTGGAAAGAGCACGGCTTGCAGCCATCGCCGAACATTCAAGAAAGACCACCTCCGGACTTCTTGATTACATTATTTTGCCTCCCACAGGTTAATGAATGCTGATTTTACTCTTATTGTAAGGTACGTGGTCTGTGGGATGTTCGGGCTATATGATAATGATGATGATAATGATGATGGCCTATATGTATGGCTCCCACCCACTCTGGAGGATTGACCAAAAAAAAAGAATAATTAGATAAGATAGACACCTTCTTCATTTTAGTGGACTCGAGGTGAGCAGGAACGCTTGCCGATTGAACGTGGGACATAAACACTATATAAAAGCTAACTATACATAGACAGCTGCTTCGCGTATAGTACCAGGTGTGAGTAGTGGAAGTTGTCCAACTTTCGTGGTGCATGCCCACTGGGAGCTGAGAACAGCGTGGCGCCGATCGTCCCGGAAGACCTTGGTCATAAACAACTTCGCCGTTAATACACGATGTTTTGTACACTTCAAGTTGAGTGAATGGAAATACTCCGTTATTTCAACAGTTTCGTAATATTGAAGTTCGTAATGATCCAAGTTCAATTGTGGTAAACTTACTCGCGTGCCAGTGAGCATGCAATAGGACGACGCAGTAATTGCTGGGCAGAATCGGGCCTACCAGGACTCCTCTCCTGCATCCACGAATCTTCCTAGTACAAGGACGTTCCAGACACATTGCTGTTATGAGCACTGTTCTGTTTGAAGGAACTGCTGCACTTGTGCACAGCGTAAACTGCTCATAAATCGAGGTACACTTTTCGTGGTTTAGTGGTCACGGTGAATAGATTAGTCCATAAGTTGCGATGCGCCTATAGTGCTGTATAATGTACCATACTTGTATTTCCGATGGAACGCTTCTGCGCACGGAACATGCCTGTTTGAATTACATAGCGTTTCTATGCCAACACTTTGTAACTTACCTTGTTCCCTCCACAGGGCATGTAGTCTTGTGCATGTAGTTCAAGAGAGTAAGTCGTGACATATGTGAAGCAACGGCTACTATAACAAACCCGGCGATATTCTGGATACTGACACTTCACCATACACTTTTTCATGCTATCTGACTCCTGAAAAAAAAAAGATGGAAAAGTGATGTCGATTTTCATGAAATTCGGTTGCTACAGGTACAAACATATGGATAAATGTTGGCTCGGGAGCCACATCAGAAGCTGATTGGTAGAGTGTGTGTATTGGGGGCGTAGCCAGCAGCTATAGGGGGGGGGGGGGGGTAGCCTCTTTTACATTTACGCTCGTGCATCCTTGTATAAATGTGCACCAGTACAAGTACAAACAACTTGGGGAAATAGTTCTGTCGTAATCGGCCAACAGTGCGAATTTGACAGAAAATGCCCAAGAAATAAACTAGCTCATTAGGCTAGTTGGTTATGCATACTGAAGAGGTTAAGCGTGTGAAGAAAACACATGGCCATGGACAGGAAGCTGAAGGAAGAAGCGCTGACTTCCAAGTGATAATTTATGGAAAAGAAAGCTTTTTCAAATTGCCGAATGAACAGTGAAAACATTGAAAAGGAAGATAAAGAAAACCGATGCAAAGATGCGAAACTACTCAAAGAATCAACAATCCCTGTGGCATGCTGCGCCGACGCTCGTATCCCAAGAAGCAGAGATCTTTTTCAGACAGTGCAACTGATGACTTGCTTACGCACGCGCTCCATTCACGCACTATCTGAGCAGCCTCGCAGATTATGTGCGCGTGCTTATCTTTAATCTTATCCAGAACTGTGGTTCTCCGAAACTGTGGAGTGCATCCACACGTGTTCACGTGTAACCCCAGGTAGCCATGCTTACGATTACGAATGTTTTTTTTTGCGTGTTACCGTAAGCATTCGTTTGGGCATATGCCCATCTAGCCTACCTAAGGTGCCTAACACGCGCCGTAAGATAACGGGACCCTGTACGCCCCGCACTGCACCCCTGCAGTCGATAAACTGCATCTTGTGTTTGACAAACGTTGTTCTTGTGGCGAAAGGAATAGACACACACAGATCTGGCCTCAAAAGTACAACGCGTCACGTAACCCTCGCTGCTAGTTTGATTCCTTCGTTGTAAATGCGCGTTAGAGAAGGTTCCCTCGCCGATGCTGTAGCTCTGGAACGTGGTATCCCGTTCTCCTCACTTTTGAAAAATTTGTGTCCCTGGGACGCCTACTTAGGAGGTCTACTTGTTCCAAGTAGAGGGACTTCCTAGTTATTGGCGGTTTTCAATGTGACATTGCAAAAGCGTTTAGAAACGAAACCCTGCAGTACGGGAGGGTACGATGAACTATGTTTAATATTTTTTTTGAAAAGAAGAGTGCGCTTCTGTGATGATGATTGATTGATGATGGTGATCGCTTGAATGCTCGCTGTCTATCAACGAATCATTCATGCAAACAATCAATTAGTGGTAATCTTAGTCATGTACCAGCAACCTCTCTAATAACACCATGGCGCGCCTTGGAAGGCCTTCACGAGTTTACAACGTGACGCTGAGCACGTACACTTCAACAGGGCGGGTCACGACATATCGACATCCTCTCTAGATCTGCACGTGGTGGAGGAGAGTATACTTGTCAGTTAAAACGTCGATGAGCAAGCAGGTACCTCGCCACTTTAGTAGGTTATAGTAGACGAGAATAGGTCATCATTTTGGGGCGAAAATCACACCGGGGAGAGATTACACGCCTCGTTATGTCACTGACGTACTATCGAAATTCTCACTCCTGATGTGGAGGTAGGCTTGCATGATACCAAATTATCTGGGGCTGCTGAAAACGTCATCCAACCCTGACAGACACGCAAATGACACCGAAACACACGCGGGGGCAGTTCGAGGCACGGCTGTCCAGCTCTGTCCTGGTCAATCAGCAAGCGCTGATCAACTAGGTTAAACGGCCAGCTAAGACCAGTTGGGTTTTCGACTGAAGGTACCCTTATAGGAATGGCTTAAAATTAATCGAAACGTTAGTGTTCTTTTTGTTTCCAAAGTAGGCGCGTTTGGTGTAAATAAGTGAAAGTACTACGCTGTCATATTTCTATAACAGTAATGCTTTCTACTTGTAAATTGTTCTTGATCTAACAAACCCTTTTAGAGTAATTAGCTTGAGCGAAAAAAGTACTCTCACCATGTCAGCGGTCACGTTTTCTTTGTCGGGAAAAGCGTGCCTGCAGTAAGCGTTGGGCGCTACTTCCATGCCGGGATATATTCCATCATTCGTGTGTCCCGTGTTGCTTAACTGCCAGCAGCTCGGTCCTCGCAATCTGCAATATGTTTTAAGTAAACACCTTTACCATGAAAACCTCAGGGGCGGGGATAAATTTGAAAAAGCTACAGGTTTCCCACGCAGGTGAGAGACGTGGAATATTATTTTTTTTCTGGAGTTTTACGTGCAAAAACCACTATACGTTCACGAGCTGCTCCGTATTATTTGGAGGCTACTGACAGCACGCCTAAGCCAAGAACGCACGTTTACTTGTGACGTGCTCCCATCCAACTTCAGCCGCCTTCGCCAGGAATGAAACGCGTGTACTCGAGCTTAGCATGGCCCCGCGTTACTTACTAACCCGTAACCATACGTCGGCAATAGAAGGAGGATCTCAATCCGATTTACTCACAAGATACATTGTGCTCTTATCGCACCTTCACGTTCTTTACGTTCGCGCATTTGTGTATGCATGCGTGTCTATGAATACAACTAAAAAGTTTAAAGACTTCAGGGTAGGGAAGTGGTCTCCTGATTCAGACCCTAAATTACCCTTGCCTATAACGTCCACAAGTTATCGGGAAGTGCACTATGAAAATTTGAAAGGTGTTAGTTGGCTCAGTTTCACCCTGTACGTAAGGCAGACAAAGGTGATGCGCCGTAGTGGCACAACGTGTATGTTTTCGCTCTGCAAAGCATCAGAGATCGTGTTTGATTCACGGCCACAGAGACTCAATTTTGATGAGGGCGAAAAGCAAAATTATCTGCGCCACCTATGTACACAACAGGACTCCTGAACCATCCCCATCTCTAAATTTATTTGTAGTGTTGCAATTGTGCATGAGTATACAACAAACATATAGTTGCGAGAAGTTTTCTAAACGATGCCGTAATGGCGGAGAGGACAGGTCATGGTTACTTGCGAAAGAAAAAAGACAGAGATGAGAAGAGGAAACACCGGACCATGCTAGACTTTAACATAATTTTATGACACCTATATATGGCATATAAAAAACAAATTGGTAATCGCAAACGCTCAAGAGTCCTGTTAAACTCATAGTAATATATGGGAAAACCCTATGATAACAAGTTCTTCGAATATAATCAAACTCATTCTTAGAGAGAGCCTGCGAGGGACTGCAAGCATATGCGCCAGCGTTTTTTTTTTCTTTTTAATGACAAGAGCTTCATGAATTTCTTTCTCCCTGCGTTGCGAAGCTGCGCAGCACTATCGTTTATTTTTTATGTTATGTACTACGGTTCACATGAGCATCTCCTGGTTAACCAGGGGCTCAGCCTCGGCTACGGCCGCCACTACCACTTGGTGCTTCCTGAAACTTACGTCACTCATACACTTGTCAGCTTTTCCGACGTAACAATGGCCACAGGACAGTTGATACATGTACACCAATGCCGCTTTGCGCTGTACCAAAGGAGTGGCTGCCTAAGCCGGGCCAAGGCATGTAAGAAGACTCATGCCTTTTTTTTGGTTCAGGGCAAAGCTACAGTGGTATAAAAAATCTCTTGTAATGGGTGTTTATTTTTCAGTGTTGTTATGTCGCTTCCTGACCAGATAGGTTGCCTTCCTACTCGCGATTTACAGGTACCATTTATAGGCGTCGGAAGCGCATACAACGCGAAGGAGTTCAACAGAAAGTCTCACATTACGACGTTTCGAATTTGCGCCAAGCTGCATTTCGAAAAATGATGATGTTTCACTCCGCCGTCAACGTAGCTCATGATGTGACCTTCCTTCCAGAGGCATGCCATTGACCCTGGGTCCCCTTTTATCCATGACACTGGTCTGCTCTCGTCATGAGCGGCACCAAGCCTGAAAGAAAACCGGTCGAAGTTCATCATCGACTGCGCGTTACAAAAGGTGAATAAAGAACACAAATTAACGAGCAAAAAAAAAAGCCCATTCCCGGCGTCCGTGTCGAAGTTCTTTTTAAAGACGATAGTCTTTCTTGGGGTACTTAGAGGGGAAATTTTGGTCTGTCTCTACATTTGTCTGTTTGTACACCGTAACGATACTCCCAATGGCCCCACATGATACCCCAAATGGTCAACCCCATCCACCACACATACCAATATTGCTCAAGTTTAAGCGTTCATACTTGTGCGATTTTCAATTAAAAAATCGCACCGTATCCGCGGAGTGCATGATGATGAGTGCAGTGAAGCGTCCATCTGTCCATCCATCCGTCCGTGTGACCGTTCGTGCGTCAGACCCTATATGCATCCATTCGTCTGTGCATCCGTCCACTCGTCCGTCCTTCTGTGGGTCTATATGTGCGTCCGTCCGTGCATTCATCCCTGCGTGCGTGAATTTGTCCATTCGTTCGTGCATCCGTCTGTGCATCTGTCTGTCTGTCCATCCATACGTCCATCCATCCGTCGATCTAGTGAACACTCCAAGTACTACCATCTCCACCATCTCGCATCTTTTCATCATATATTCCTCATATAGAAGCACCAGCATCCAGCAGACATTCCAAGGACTGAACGAGAGGAGGCACACGTACACTTTCTTACGGCTCGCGCTTCGTGTCCACTTTCCACATTTCACCACCTCTAGTTCATGGCTATATACTAATAAGGGTTGCAGCGCGAGCACGAATGTGCTACAAGAAACAGACGAAAGTCGAGGTACGGAAGGCAAAGAGGACAACACGAGCGCTGAAACTTCTTTGCCTTCCGTACCTCGACTTTCGTCTGTTTTTTCTAGCACATTCGTGCTCGCGCTGCAATCCCTATTATCATGAATTCAAACCAACTAGCACAAATCGCCATTCTTCTGCTATATACTACTTCACTATATTCATGACACTGCGGCCCAATCCTCGCTAAACTTTGCTAAAACCAAGTAGGTACGCCCAGTGAGTTCAACGTGGGGAACTCCTGCTGGTCAGATGGTCAGCAGCCATTCGATGCAGTAATTGTCGGTCGAAACCAACGGGAACTCAAACGTTCGACACGCAGAAAGTCAGTTAAAAGGACTCTTAAAAACCGTCATTAAAGAGAGCACCCTGAGCTAATATGCACTTCCTCATTACACAAAAGCCAACATTTTTTTCCCGCTTGAAGGTAGTTTTCTTCAATTTAAAAGCACCTAATGACCACATTCTCCGATTCCCATTCCCACTAATGCGGCAGCGTTACCTTGATTCAGCGGCTGGTTTATCGGGACAGAAGCGCTAGATTGCATTTCTAATGGCAACAAACATAACATGGGATAAAAAATGGAAAGATCGTCGCACGAGGGATAACAAACAGTAACATTCTGGCACGTTTTCAGAAATTTGATCAAATTGAAACTACCTAAATTACACATTGGGCAAGAAGTCTGAAACTAATCACGCCACGCGGACATTGCGGATTCAATAAAGACAGAGTTAGGGTGCTAGTTTTCTCATTTGTATAAACATTTTTATCTTCAAAGCAAACTAAAATATGTCTTGCCAGTGTAAGTTAGATTAATATAAATTGCTTTCCGTTAGGCATGAATAACGGCATTATGCACATATATGTTTGTTTAATTTATTGTTCTGCTTTGCACGCCTATCAAACAACACGTTGTTATCTGGTGGCGAGACGAATGCCCGAGTTGTTGCAAAAAAAAAAAAGAAATCGGCGATGATTCAACGAATATTTACAAATAGATAAAACAGTATTTGTGGCAATACAAATGAGCTGAATACTGGATAAAAAGGAAACGAAAGTGTAAGCCAGCCAATCAGTTACCTATACGAAAAATAACACCATGTAAACAGACATAAAAGAAGAATGAGAAGTTGCTTTTCCTCCATTAGAAAACTTAATCATTGACATGGCCCAATCAATCAATGTAGAGAAAACAAGCGTATGATGTTAAATCTTACACGTGTCCACACTCGTGCGTTAGCGTGTGCATTCCTGTGTATAGACCAGCGCTGTCTTCGCCGAGGGCCACGAAGTACTCGGTGCAAAGGCCACCAACGTAACCAATTCCTGCGAAATTGCAGTGAAAAGTTCATCGAGCTTTGACATGAAAAGTACGCTTAATGCATTTCACGGTGCGCACTGAACATTAAAAAAAAAAATTCAGGCAGCTTCGCACTAAATGTGTCAAGCCTGAAAGAAGTGCGTAGCTGGGCAGCTTTTGTTTTTATCCCTTTCTTTAACACGTGTTTTAAGCCAGGGCCCAAGAAAACTTCGATGACGTATTTCTGTCACATAAGCACGATGAGAAGATGAAAAATTCCGTCATCAGGAGTTGAACGCGTGATATCTGGATTCGTGGCAACAGATCAATACCGGGCACGCCATCCACTGCGCCATTATTACATACTTCCAGCTATTAAAAAATATATGCCTTTTACATTTACCACTGTGCTCTCGAAGCAGTCTCGGTAAAGTGCAGTAATGCATAATGATCATGGCACCCGCGATTACTTCTTTCAACGCGTCGTTTCTAAGTGTCCGTCTCATTCGGCGTGTTTCTAATAAGAGCATGTGCAATTTTGCCAACGCCAAACAAACTTCCAGGCGGCGTCGCTATAGCTCATAGCACTCACCCATACAAAAGAAAAATGCTCTGCAACGGATAGAGCAACGCGTCTGTTTCGTATGGATGTACATCCGCGACCACGTCTGCGTAGAGCAAGCAACTGGTTTTTGCTCTGTCGGGCGAACTGAACCTTGAGGCAGTATCGGGCTCTGATGTAGACAGCCTCACAACTAGGACACTAATGCTCCTGATACACCACTTCAGAGCCTGAAATTGTCTGAAGGTATCGCGCCGCGGAGCAAAAACTGTCTGCTTGCGCGCTCTACACAGACGTGGCCGCGACTGTACCACAATAACTCTTCGTTCACCGCTTACGCTCAACCCACGAAAAATTGCGGTGGGCCAGCAGACGAAACACAACGCACATTGCGTTTCCCTCTGGTCGTGCCATGGCGTTCAGTAACTCCAAAATGCTGCGAGTAGGCAACCTTAGCCCAAGTTCGGCGTCCAATCAATCGCGTTCTTCTGGCTGTCACATCAACTTTCCCTGGTTCTGCACTCACCTATGACCACAAGTGTTTCTTTTATTTGTTAGAATGGAGATTTATGACTAAACGTTAACGTGGATGCATCACCAGTACAGTGCACCGCTTAACGTGGATGCATCCACGTTAAGCGGTGTTACATCTGTCAAACACCAATAGATATTGCACAAGCTCTCTTTTACCAATCTACAGTAAACGATAAACTACTCCTGTAAGGACACGTTTTACTTTCGTGTTTCACTGGTTACTTTGAAGGAGAAATCAAACAGTTTTTTTTTTTGTATTTTCCAGTTCTTTCAGTCTTTCTTTCTAATATTTTTGTCTTCTTATTTTCTTGTTTTCTTTCTCTCCTCAAATTTCTGACTTGCTTCTTCTTTTTTTAAATATTTATATCTGATTTCGCCTACGTTAGCTCGGGCTCCTAAAATGATTCACACTTAATATCATCATCAAGGCGCTAGAAGAGTGGGAGGAAAAAGACTTCTCCTTGGCGCGAAAGCGGGATCAGTACGCAACAAATGGCTATTTTATGTGTGGGGGTTTGCCTGCACTACGTCAAGCGACGACTACAGCATATGATCGCAAAATACGACAGCACGTGACAGAAGTCACCTGAGGTGCTCCGACCTTGTTAGACAGTCCCGTTGGGCAAGGAAGCGTATGCTCTCCCGAGACACACAGTACAAGGGTTCGGCAACGCCTTCTCAAGTAATCGTCTAATGACTTCATTGAATAACTTATGGCGTCACGAATGGACTGCCGCAATACTTCGTAAAATCTCTCAAGTACGAGCACAGTTGAAAGGATTTGTCACATGCTTTTAGCGCTTTCTCTCTCCTTTCATAACAGCGAGCACGATGAAAGCTAAGCAGGGAGGGGATTAGAATGACAAGGGAAAAGGCAAGAAGCCACCCACATTTGCGAGCGAGTGGGATAATATTCAGCAGAAAGTTTTCTCTTTTTACAGCGAAAGCTGTATATGGCTGGCTAAATGAAAAACCTTTCGCCACGAGTTTTGATAACGGCCTCCATTGACTGGCTGTCAGTTACCTCACTCTCTACGTCACGCACAAGTGCGCGCACCATTGGCAGCAGCATTGGTGATGTCATTCTCTGCGTCGTATCAAAGTACTTGCTTAATGGATGTTAATATACCTACTCATTCAGGCCACTGTCTTGTTTAAAAATCATATTATCATGAAATGATTATAATGCATCTGTACGTCACACTGGTAATTTCTCCGCTTGCTTTCATCAAAATATCAAGTTGCGAAATAAAATCAGGCATCTAGATTTCATAAATAGCGAAGTCTATATCGCTGCAAGCATGGTAGCAGCTCTTTAGTCGTTCCTGTCTTCGTGATTATCACTGAACAACTCAATAGACTTACCTAACACACTCGTGCTCTTTGATCCACCACTTGCTGTAGAGTATACATCGTACCTGGGCGAACAAGATGTGCTCACGTTAGTTATACAACTGTTACTCGGGCTCCTAACGTTGCTAGACGCTGTACATTGTGTAGCGTTATCTTGCGGCAAACTGTGCGTAGGCCAAGTGGACAAGTGTCTCGATTCTAGATCATCTGAGTGCAAGCACAAAGTCGGCAAATATAAGCGAGAGAACCTAGCTCATTAGAAAAAAAAAAGGCTGAAAACTGTCAGAAGGACTCACCCAGTTATTAGGAACGTCACATCTGGATTACCAAACTGGTGTCGTTTGCCATATGCATATGACCGAAACTGTTCCAGAGAAGATGCGCTTTCCAAATATTTATCGTTGCCATTTCTGTAAGGGCTATGCTGTAATAAACAATAAAGGATGCAGTCATAGTAAGGTCACAGAAGGCGTTACAGTTTATCCATGCAAGGAAAAAGAAATGATTACTTCGTCTTTCTCGACTCCGGTTAGTAAGAAAATCACTCTTGGGGAATCGGTGTCAGCATACCTCAAGTTCATCTGTAAAGTAGTAGTCCAATATGTAATAAGCCATACTGCGCCGCATCGGCATCCACATGTAGGAATTAGAGTGCAACCAGAGCTCTCTCCAGAATTTTAGAGGCCTATACATACGTGCGAGAACATTCATAACTCATGGTTGGACCTCAGTGCTGAATAACATTTCTTGTGTGAAGCCCTTGCTGCACCGACACAAAAAGTATATTGTCCCACTTGAATGAAACTTTCACTAAATTTTTTAAAGTATAGTATTGCTTGATTGAACAGGTCTTCTGGGTGTGTGTGTGTGAGAGAGAGAGAGAGAGAGAGAGAGAGACAAGGTATCTGCTTGTATGAAGTAAACACTGGTCAGTCAGCCAGTCTGTTTGTGTGCGTGCGCGCGTGTGTGCGTGCGTGTGCGTGTGCGTGTGTGTGCGTGTGCGTGTGCGTGTGTGTGCGTGTGCGTGTGTGTGCGTGTGTGTGTGCGTGTGTGTGCGTGCGTGTGTGTGTGTGTGTGTGTGTGTGTGTAGTGAATTATATAATCACAAGGGTGGTGAATCGGGTCACCTTGTCGTTCGTGATCACGACGCCGGAAGAACGGAAGAACACACATGTACACTGTCGTCCTTTTTGAAAATGAACACGAGAGCCCCTTGCCTGCGCTCTGCGGCGGCTGCATGCAGTGCCATCAATCGAGGGCAGAATCAAAAAGCCCATCCGCTTTTTGCGTCATTTTTTGGCAAACAAAATAACGAGCCATGGCCGGTGGACTAGAGCTGCTGCAGATTACGCCCCCGATCCGGTCTCGCAACGGGTGATGCCGCCAAAAACGAACTTGCTTTCTGAATCTGCCGGTTGATGGTGCTATAGGCAGCCCCGCCGCAGAGCCTGGGCCACGCGCTTAGGTGTTCCCTTTCAGAAAGGACTACTGTGTAATAGTAAACACAAGAATAACTTTGTTTTGTGCACACTGAGCGCTGTACATGGTGTAAACGTATCTTGCAGCAAACCGTATGTATAGTCCAGGCGAGCAGGTGTCTCAATTAGAGATCATGTGAGCGCAAGTACAATGTCGGCAAATTTAAAGAAGAAAAATTTAAGCTTATCGTTGTTCTCGCCACATGGGCATTCCGTTTTATTTTGAGTGTTGTCTCCAGAATCTGGTAGCAGATTAAACGTGATATTGTAGATGCTGAGTTGATCGATAGGCTTGGTGTTCAGTGTGTAGGCACCCTTTCGAACACTTTTCATTAAAAAAGGAAACGAATTTCGGCGCAGGAATTGAACACCTCTTTCTACTGATACGTTAGAGCTATAAATTGTGTGTTTCTGGAAAATAATTTTGTTTGAAGTGAGCGCTCCTTTGCGTCTGTATGTTCGTATGTTGTTCTTGCGCTGTTTTTTACAATATCCGCTATCAAAGTCCCCGGTGTCGGGAATCAACTTTGGGGTGTCCAGAGGGCCAAGGATGCGGTGGTCGGGCTTGGCCTGACAGTCCCACTGTGGGAGCGGCCTCCTGCGCGCTGAGTCATGCACCTCAGGACTTCCATCAATGTGTGATAAGCTCTATTCGAGTGGTGTAAAGGCAGTTACGATGAGAGGTCAGTGAATTAATTCCTTTGTTGCGATAGCGATTATAATGACACCGTCGGGATCGTTTTCTCCATCACCCTTATCGCCGACATTGTCATCGCCATGATTTTCTATATAGAGGCCAAACTTAGTGACATGCACTCCTCGATTGATTTGTAAAAGCTAGCGAGCACTGGCGGCGAATCAGGCTGGAGCGGATATGAAGCGAGCCAGCCATCTCCGTCACACGATAGACGCACGTGATAACATCATCCCACGTGCGAGGCTTGACGTTGATTGCTCTTCAAGCAATGAGAAAACGCCCCACCCCTCTTTCGTATAGCGCATCAAGGGACGCTAAGGGGTCCGGGTCGGGGGAGGGGACAGAATTGTGTTGCTTTAAGGGCACTGTCACTGGCGCACGCAATATCTCGACAGACATCAAGAGATGACTCGCGCACTTTTTGAGCTTTTGTTTTTCATTTCATTGAGGTTGTTATGACTACATTTCATGAAATGCACAACACTCATTAGACCCATAGCCATAGGCTAGTAGGAGGTTTAACGGGAGAAAGTGTACAAGCAGAATACAGTTTGTATAAAAAAATCAGAACATCAAAAAAACGTTGATTTTTCAAGAAAACGAACAAAAATACAAGAAGATATCATTGGGATTTCAGGTGACGTAAATGCTTGAGAGAACGTGCAGTGCATACTTCACGTTTCGGGAACTGACTGCACGGAAAGCGCTTCGTACCTGGGGAAGCTATGTTTCCTTAAACCAGTGAGTTGTTACGTTACGCGATTGTGGATGCTAATTAGTTTGCTGCAAGAATCATTAGTTAGCTGATACTGTTGGACGCAAAAGAGCAAGCGGCGTGTACAGTATAATTTGTTGCTGTCGCATTTATTGCGCCGCCCTTAAGCAAAGCTGTTTTTTTACGCTTTTTTATGATCTAGTAAGCCTAATTATTTATTGACAGTTGGAAATGATGCTATTTGCTGTCTGTGAACCAACGTATTCAAGGCTTGTCGTTTTAGAAGAATCGGTATACGTTCTGCGGAAAATAAATTAATTCTGAAGGAAAGACTGAAATTTACTCACAGAATTCACCATTACGCACAGGTATTGTATTAGTTGAATCGTGGTTTGGAAGTGCTGATGATGGGGCCGATCAGAAACCACGAATAGCTCTATCGTGACAGAAGGCGGAACATTTTGAGTGCTGCCGTAATTCCTCTCACTCACAGTCGGAGCACCTGAAATGGAAATGCGAACAAACGTCTGAAACAGCTCCTTAAAATGCGTCATAAAATGTTAGGGAAAAGTACTTGCACTTTTCAAAAACGAGTGATAATGTACCAGCAGCTACGCAATTTCGTGAGTGCTCTGGCGAGAAAATGAAAAGAATTGAAGGCTATACATAGGCAGGCAGATCGTTACTGCTGGAGCAAGTGTTTATATAAATCAGAATGATTCATATAAGTATTTATATGAGTTATTTGCGACAGTTATGAGTATTTTGCGACAGTTTGGCTATCTAAGAGTGGTGGCAGCAGAAGGGCGTCTTGTCTACTTAGCTACTTTCTGGCTACTTTGCGTTTCCTCGATTTTCGCCGAAGGGTTGTTATCAGGCGACGTCGTGGTTACTGGCGTTCCAGTGTGTGACGTCAAAACATGGCAGCATTCACGTGTTGTCTGCTTCCAACTCTCAATTTGGCACTCGCAATACCCAAACGAAGGCTTCGGTAACGTTAACCTACGGTTTAAGTACACCCTCTACATTTTGCTGAACGCGACATTGCGCTGCCATGTGACGCGAACAAGAAAATCAGGATTTGTTAGCGTTAATTTGAAATCGATTGTTTAATGAACTGCTCTTGTTAATTTTTGGGATCATGTTCACACCGTAACTAAAATATTAGATACTCATTTCATCATTACACAAGAAATATTTGGGAATGTAAACGCTACAATTTACGCTTGAGTAGCATTTGAAACTGCGGCTTTGTATTTACTAATGGTGTATTCCTTTTTTATTGTCGCCAAAAGGCTGTTACTTCTGCTCCTTTTGAACAATCGTCACGCAAGATTCGAGAGAATTATGTAATTTTTCCAACAGCGCCAAATACTTCGTAATCCGAAACGATAGGCTTGCTAGGTTCAGCAAAAATTATGCTTCAATTCCTGCAGTGCTGCATTTAAAGTGTTCATAGCGTACTTATTGACACTTTTGCCAAAAAAGTCATGGGTCCGATCCTAGCCAGGGCAGTCGCGTTTCGATGGAGGTGAAAGGCTGGAGACTCTCGTGCTGAGAGATGTGAGTGCACTTTAAAAAGCACCAGATGTTCGAAATTTCCGGATCTTTTCACTACACCGTCACTCACAGTCATATCGTAGTTTGGGACATCACACGCGGTTTATTATTATTACTTCTATTTAGCTACCTAAATGAAAACGCAGCAGTTATTCTCACAGAAGCGTCGCCAATTCTGGGTACATTTACCGCTGGGGGATGACTTTGTCTATTTTTTTTTTTAGTTTTGTAGCTAGTCTTAGACCTGGCAAAACTGTTCAGCATATTATACTAGCTGAATGCGTGTGTGTTCACGAAAGCAAGGATTGTATTACGGAAAAATGGCAATCCGCCTCATTTTAAGTTGCTATGTTACAGGACCGCTTTTGTCTGAAGAGTTTGATTTCCGAGTTTTAAGCGCTGATTATGCGTCGTTTCACCGCAGTGGATCAATGTAGACACGAGGTCACACATGAGGTCAACTTAGATACAAATGAACACTTGGGATGTCGTAGTATAGTAATGGAACTTCGTGCTAAATATACTAGAAGTGAGATTTCCCTGTTGTGGCGTGAATTAGTTGAAAAAAAAGCACTTTCATTCGAGCTTTTTTTTTACTATTTGAAGTTCACATGTTTAAGTGCCGCATCTAATCTGGTCAGCAGATAAGCGTCTTGGATTCATGACATATTAATTTCTCTACGGTGTCTTCGTGTTACGCTGAACACTATTTTACTCACTATAATTAAAAACTGTGGCAAATTTTCACCACACAAAGCTGCCAAGGAAAGTAGTTTTCACACAGATAAGGACAACATTTTTTATATCAATATTAGCACTATGATGAATGTCGTTTTCTTTTACAACTTGTCATCTCACTCTAGCATCTTTCGAAAGGCGACGACTTTTTTATATCAGTATTAGCACTATGATAAATGTCGTTTTTATTTTTCACAACTTGTCATCTCACTCTGGCATCTTTCGAACTCGCCCTATTGTCTAGATACCGAATACACTGCCCTTTTTAAACACCCCTTTTCGGTGACTTTCTTTGTCATCTTTGTCTCTTGCTTTATATGCCTTCACAAGTACTGTGTCACAATCTAGCTTTATTTTTCAGTGGGCTCTTCAATATTTTTTCCCTACATCCAGTATTTGCGTTTTTGTCCTGCGGACATGCTCCTTCCTGCAGTGTAATTGAAAGAGGATCTTGGTGTTAGAACCGATATACCATTCATCGTGGCTATAAATGCGTGTGGTTGCGTTTACTAACTGAGCGAAAAAGCAAAAAAAAAGAATTTTCATTTATGCATATTCCGCTAAATCATGTACGTTGTCGGTTAGACTGTACACTTGTTCACTTACCTTTCCCAATCGGTGCCACCGCAATGTCATGCATGTCTTTCATTTCTATTTCGTGTATCATGTGGGCAATCAGGCCCTCCTCGGATCTTTCCATTGTGTGAACAGGTTCGATCCTGTGGCGTGGTCCCACCACGCCTTCCTGCAAGGCGCCGCATGAGTAATATCGCGTTATGCAACAGGCTTCGTTGTAGCGTGTGATACGTTTCTCACTTGGACACATAGTTTCTTTAACAACGAAGCCATTTTAGTCGAGCCTTTCGTGTCCGGCGACCATCGTAGATGGAAAACGGGTATGTGCTACATAAAGTAGGCGAATGCCCCCACGGAGATGTGCCACACTTTCCACAACTCAATAAGTGCAAAACTCATCACAGCGCCCACTACTGCGGCGGCCACTCCTGCCACTTATATCACGCACTTAATTCAACCCACTTCTTTCAACCAACTAACATGATTGGCAAAGTGTAGGCTACTTTTGTAAGCCATCAGCTTCACATATTAATTAATGTCCGCCTAGTGGACATTGCTGAATTTTTCCGTTGTCATTTATGGGACCAATAACTGTCGAAATCTGGTATTCAAGCAGTATTTTATCTGAAATGAACCAATTAGAATGCACTGTGACAGGGTAACGTTGTGCAGTAGCGAGCTTTAAGCAATGTTTTTATAGAGTGTAAATTAAGTCACATTTAACGCCAGTGTGCTTGGCCACGACGAGTTTAACCATGTTAACGAAGTGTTCAACGGAAAGTGAAATCGGCAGCGTGCGTCATGTTTGGGTCGTCGTATGTATGCCCTACGGCAATATTACTTGAATACTGGCTAATCTATCATTTGCACATGCAACAGTCCTTGTTCAATAAGAAGGAGTTTGCAGTTTTGTTTCGTAATGTTACAGCTGAAGCTCAAGAAGATAGAGAGGGGACAATGGGGACAACTAGGAAACACTAAGTTATGACTATAATTTTATTATAGCAATGCACAAATATTATGCATACCTGCCACATGACCTAATAATCATATCAGCCATTGCACTAGGGGGAATAGACGAACTGAAGCTACGTGGTGGCAAAAATACATGAAAAAAAAACAGGTGACGGCGAATTCAAGTAACCTAGCCCGCTCCAACACCTTTGCTTATTTCGTAATACAGCTATTAGCAATATAATTTATACCTGTTATTTGTATTACAACCAGAACATGAGTCTGTTGAGCTAGTCCTAGTAAACCACAATGACAACACGGACGAAAGGGTACCAGACGAGTGCAGTAACTTGACCCAGGGATTTCATTTAAAAGTGGGCGAGAGAACACACGAGAGGAACTTATGTGGCCAGGGTGTCATGCGCACACTAATAGACATTAAATATAAGTCATTTGATACGAATAAGCAAAGCTAACTTAACCACTGATGATCTACTTGGAGCACTGCGTCTTTTGTGGGTCACCACAAACAAGTTCACAAGTTATACGAGAAGACGAATGAGCTAATCGTGTCATTTGCGTTGCACGACCTTTCATGCATTGCCGCCGTGATTTATGAACTTTTTCAGTGTACCCGCCACAGTGGTTTTGTAGTTATGGTACTCAACAACTGAGTCGCGGGTTTGAATACCGGTCGTGGTGGCTGCATTTTCAATGGAGGTCAAAATGCCCAAGGCCTTAGATTTAGATGTGGGTTAAAGAGAGAGAGAGAGAGAATTAACTTTAATAAAGGTCTTGAAGGGGCCTGGGCACCCCTTACGGGGGCCAGCCTGGTGGCTCCGCCCATGTGGGGACTGGGAGTCGGAGCTCGCCAGCCACCTTTTGGGCCTTCTGGACGGCCTGGTGTTGAAGGGCCCTGTCGGGGCTCCTGAGGTGGTTGAACCAGTCGTCCTCGGTGGCAGGGGACCCGAAGCTAGCGTTTAGCATGGGACACTGCCACTGCATGTGACTTAAATCGCACCTTGAATTTTGGCATTTGGGGCATTCTGGCCTTACCATGAAACGGTATCAAAGAAACGGTAGGTATTTGCTGTAGATATAGGGGCTGGGGTAACTGTGCGTTTGCAGCAGTCGAAGCGTTAATTGTTGTGCTTTATTTAGTGCTGAGTGAGGTGAGGGGAATTCCTTTCTAAATAACTTATAGTGCGAGCAAGTTTCATGAAATGATAGAAGCTGCTCCCGGTGCGTGTTGGTGTCCCCGGCCAGTGAACCGGACCGCGACCCCCCGCGGCACGTAAGATCACGGCACGGTTAAAGAACCCCACGTTGTCGAAATTTTTGGACCTCTCCACTACGGCGTCCCTTACAACCACAATGTATTTTCTGGAACTTTCAACTCCTACAATTATTAACTTTCGCTTTGCACCTCTTGACAGAGAGTGGTGTCTGGCAATTTAAAGTTACTTAAAAGAACATAAAATGTTACGCCCTGCCTGCTGCACCGAAGTATCGCAGGCTTTACAGTAACTAAAAGACGCAGTGGACTGAATGGGCGTGTAGAGTCTTATGGTAGGATAAAGATTGTTGACACTCACAACTTCGACGCTGCCATCTCTTCTTCTGACGTGCACAGTGGCGAATTGCTTCTCATCCTCATGGAGATCTTGTTCGAGGTCTTCACCATTGAACTGTTAAATCAATGCTTAGTGATAGTGGCATACAGATTTTATTGGCTTTATACTACTGAGTGATCGTCATTCTATCATGCATAATATAGAGAAAAGTTGTAGCCGAACACATTGATGTTTCAGGATTATAAGATAGTTCTCGAAAATCATTGTCGCTGATATGTACTCCTTCACCAGAAGCAGTAATAATGAAAAGGCTTGCCATATAGCATGATTATGTTAGCTTTCAAGATAAGTCACGCTGCAGCCTGTTGAGTTGTTCAACAGTGAAGATTAGCATCGTGACCATATCAGTGCATGAGGTGGTTTTAGATATTCAGCGCTTCCATTGAGGAGATTCAGCGTATGCATGGCACAGCTTGAATCAGTACTGCCTTGTTTCATTTGTCTATCATTTTTCTGCTAATTGTTCTTAGTTAATACACGGCTAATTAGTTCTTTCTTGTAATGCAGGTTGGTTGGTTTTTGGTGGGATAGTGGTGCTATGAGGAAAGGCAGGCATAAATACATTTAGGCAAAATGAAAAAAAAAGAAACGTTATTTCTTCAGCTCATAAAGAAGCACGCATCAGTGCCACTGGGAAAGGAATAAGTGAATCAAAGGATGCTGGAGAAATTCAGCCGAAGGTTTCGCAGTTATGAAGGTATACTGTTAAGAGGCTTTGCTCTTCTCTTTCTCTATAAATACATGCACATTAATCATTTTCGAACTACCACGCCGAAATATTAAACAATGAATCGAACTTTCTATTTCACGAGTTTGCGTGTTACCGCGCAATGATAATATGTAATGTTTCGCTAACTAAAGTAATACTGACAACTGTATTAGTTTTTTTTTCTTGGTGACCACGTCTAACACTCCGAAACTTTCACGAGCCTTGGCGGTAACACTGGATTGTACCACGTTATATGTATTTCAAGTTATTGCTGACGCGGATGACCGCGCTCGCCGTTTTCATTACATGATACTCCGTGTCATGCTTTCAGAAGAACACGTTGCGAAAACGTTCATTGATGTGGTTAGCAGCAGCAGTCGATAAAATGAAAAAGAAATGTACTTACGAAATGTGTCACTTCACGTCCGTCTTCTTGTTCCAATACGCGGAAGTTGCGAGCCGCCACCGACGCCTTTCTGAGGTTCAGCGTCAGTTGATCGTGCAGGTGCATCACCATTCTTCCGTCAGCCGAACGTTCCTCGAGTAGGCGTGGGTAAACCAGCCTCGGTTGTTGCATTGCTGTCAAGTGCAGATTTCACAGCCGAGGTTCAGAGATGGTTACGCAGTGGCAAATCGTGAAAGCATTCTGGTTTCAGTGGTGTCGAGGTAAACATAAACACAACAAAGTGACAAGCTTATGTATCTAGTGAGTATTAATTTCTTGCAGAAAACTGCGAACAGAAAACTATATTAATGGAAAGAGTAAGCGCTAGTGTTTCCTTTCTCTCTCGTGTTTCTGTTTTCTGGCAATTTCTCCAAATATTATTGTCTTGCAGAAAACTGCAGACAGAAAACTATATTAATTGAAAGAGTAAGCGCTAGTGCATCCTTTCTCTCTCGTGTTTCCGTTGTCTGGCAATTTCTCCGTATATGAGAGCTGGGTGTCATAATGCACTCCATTCTAGAGACAACGAGCGCACAAACGCACACACACCCGTACGCACACAAAAATACTTACACAGCCCCGCCGCGGTGGTCTAGTGGCTAAGGTACTCGGCTGCCGACCCGAAGGTTGCGGGATCGAATCCCGCCTGCGGCGGCTGCATTTCCGATGGAGGCGGAAATGTTGTAGGCCCGTGTGCTCAGATTTCGGTGCACGTTAAAGAACCCCAGGTGGTCGAAATTTCCTGGGCCTTCCACTATGGCGTCTCTCATAATCATATGGTGATTTTGAGACGTTAAACCTCACATATCAATCGAATAATTAATCAATTACACAGCTCTGAACAGCCAGGAAGGGCCTACAACCATTCACCTAGGCCGTTGTTTCTCACAAACTGTGAACTAAGGTAGGCATACAATACAAAAAAGACCACCCGTCGTAAGGGTGATAAAATTATGATAATAATGACAACTGTAATGGTCTTATGTGCCAATAACACGATATAATTACTATGGAGACTGTACCGGTGTACTCTGGAAATCTCTACTTCCAGATTTTTTTTTAACGGACATGCACCTGAATATATGTACGTGAGCCTTAAGTAACTTTGCCTTCATCGAAATACGACCGCAGCGGCTGGGATTCGATCCCGCGACCTTCGGGTCATCAGTCAAACGCCATAACCATCATACTACGGTGGCGAGTAGATGGAAATTGATAAAGTTATGTACTTGTGAGCTTGTGGTTCATTCGATAACCAGCATTCTAGTGCATGTTAACAGCAAAAATCAACCAGTAAACGAAGCTTTGTTTAAGTGGGGAGGACAGGGTGAGAGGGTGATCTACGTTGGAAAGGGGTGGGACGGTGGACGTAGAGGAAAAGTCCAGCAGATGGAAGAACTCTTCCCGAGCCCTACGATATTACTTAAGCCTAACATATTCAGAGCTGCCTTTGTGGTCGCTGATCAAACGCTACACTCTAAACAGTTCCAGCACAGTAGACAAAATACTTTGAAAAGGCTCCATAGTAAAGCCTGAAGATTCAAGGTAGCCTCGCGTCGGTTGAGTCTCAATGCGGGTACACCTTAAAAAATTCAGGAAACTAAAACGAAGCCGTTTTGACAGAACAACGCAGGCAATAGGATGAAGAACATACAAGACACAGTGCTGTGTCCTGAATGTTCTGCGCTGTTCTGCCACAAAGTTAATGAAACAACCAGCCCACGTACCTAAGCACCCATTTACCTAAAATTCGTTTCGTTATGTTCGACTTCAAAATACATTGCTGACGGTAACGAGTGGTTCTTACCTTCACCCGCAATGGCCAGCACGAGTACTATGATCACACTGACCATTGTGGAGAACGGCTTGACGCGCTCGTAGTGAGACCTTGTCTTTTACATCGCAGTTAAGTAAGTGTCCAGTGACAAGCAGTTGGCATTAGAACTTCCCGCTGAACTTTTCAGTGTGTTTATCTTCGAATCAAAGACTGCGCTTATGCGAGGCAGCTGAGATCTATCTGACGCACTCATGGCTTGTTTTGAAGTGCGTAATTAACTTTTAAAAGCAGTTTTTTTCCAAGTCATAGAAATTCGTTGGTCATATCTGGTCACCACAAATCATTATAGTTTGTAATCTGGCTGCTAGCGATAACATTGAAAGCCGATCTTTTGACATAAAAGTTTCATTAGTGGAACAAAATATGTATACATATGCGTTTAATGACTACTAATAATGAATGAAATGAATAAAACTGCATTTCGAGGAAGTGTGGCTAAAATGTTAAAACTAGGACGCATATCTATCTAAGTTATTATTGTGTAATTTTATTTAAAGTACTCTTATCATAGTTATGCATTTGTAAAAAATTACTAAGTCACCTACAGTCTTGACTTCAACGACGTAAGAAAGTGTCAGTACAGAAACACCGTCAACCTGAACTTAGGCTATAGGAGGTGGTCAGACGCGTATGTTAGAAATGAAACGAAATCTTTGTTTCTTCACATTGTACAGAAAAAGAGGAAACTTAAGGGCGAAATTCGTATGCAACGACTTGAGAAAATTTTATTACGCCCCTTCCCATTACTGGCTTTTATCATCAATATTTCGACAGTAAGAAGAGTAGAAGAGGAACTTAGGGTGTTTTGGATGATCGGCATTCAATTAGTATTGGAATGCTCTTATTTCGCATCATTGATACTTCCGCTAAGTAAACCTCGCCGAGATATTTTTGTTTGTTTTATTGTGATAGCAATTATATGGACACTCTCGGCTGGACTTTGCCACCGGCGTCGATGTCATGCACCGTATATGTATACGTATCTACATATATGAAAACGCAAGAAAGAAAAAAACAAAAAAAAACACTCCGACGTGCGGAATCGACCGTGGAACCTCTGCGGCGTTAAAGTGAGGCGTTAACCAAGGAGTTATTCCGGAGCACGTCCTTGACCGTTCAAACGGCAAGCTATTTATATGTACCACTTACCGTTGCTCACGAGCATGTCGAGCGAATTGTGTTTTCAGCATTACCAGCAAGATGGTGCAACGAGCACGCGTCACCACATCGCGCGGCAGCGCCTGCTCTAATCTCCTACGCGTACTTGGCCCGGCTTAGAGAAGGGGAGTGACGCTCCCTCGCGCGTCTTTATATCGCGGTGACGAGGAGTGGAGAATCATACGCCTTGGCTGGCCTCGGGCTTTACCTGGAATGATTATGCTGTAGTTACCAGGCGCACAAAGGTCACTGCAATCATTGCAGTCTACGTTTGCGAAAAGCGCGCGCTTTTCAGACACAGCGAAGTAACAAACAAGACACTTATTCGCTTGCATCCGTACTTGTGAGTACGTTTCGTGCATCATTTGTGTGGGGGAAACGTGGGGCATGTTTCGATCTGCTTTCCAATCCACTCATGATCTTTCAATTTATTGCTATCGCATTCATTGCTTCGCCTTTGCGGCAAAGCTGTGAGTTTTTTTTTTTTGTTGTTCTGCTCTAGTTGTGGTGCTGGGTATGGGTGACCAAAATTTGTGACGCATGCTTTTGTCGTGACAGTGTGTTCTCTTGTGTCCCTTCATGTGATTGCACTCTATTAAAAAACTGTGGTTGCCCTTAGAACTTCCTGCCTTACGTCTACTGCGGCAACAAGAAGTCTTCGCGTGAATGACGTTGGCGCATGACGCATATATTCATATAAAGTGCAATGCCCCATGACTGCAGTATCACTTGTGTGCTGTTGGGTATTATTGCGTACTATTGAACAGAATTATGTGTTTTTATGTACAGTTGAGTAAGTGTGGTATATTACTGCTATCTTATTGCGTACAGCTAGCGTTTTAGCCAGCAGTGGCTCGAATCATGGTCTTGAATAATACACTAGAGCAGCACACAGCTGTTCACTGGAATAAATATTACAATACTCTTAACCCTTAATTGAATGAAATAATATTTTACGAGTAAGTTGAAGTGCAATGTACATGATGAAATGAAATTGACTGCAGTTTTCGTCATTGCTCTTTTGCTTGATCTTTTACCACTGCAATTCGGCATCTGTCCTTTCAGCCCTCATTTATAAAGACGTCATCTTTGAGAACTTTTCACTGAGCGTACTATACGAGGTAAACTTTTCAAACTGTCCTACCTTGTGGCGCGGTTCAGTAGAAGTCACGTGTTCTCGCTTCACATAAAGTTAGCATGAATCATTACCAGAACCTTTAAACAATACGTTTAAACAATAGCAAGATGCCAATCAAAAAGGAAAGTGCTTAGTTCAAAACGTAGATAATCGTATGAAGAAATGTTAGTGACCTACAAATAAGAAAAGTTCAAGACTGCAAAGGCCGAGGCAAATGTAATATAATACAAAGTAAAAGCTCTGAAAGTCTATAAAGACACCCGTGGAGGCAGGGATAACGTGCTAAAAAGCGAAATGAACCAGAAAAAAAAGAAAGGGATTATAAGAGGCTAGACAATGAGGGAATTTCTATCACGTCTGCGACCTGTCATCGAGCTCCCTGAGTTATAACTTAAACCAGTACAGTTTTTTAGTTCATAATAATATGAAGGTCTTTGCTTCAAACATATCCGTCAATCAAATACAGCAGCCATTTTAGCATAATAGCAAAAATGTAGTGACCAGCGTCATAACTTGTCCTAAAGACCAGGAAGTGCTAAAGACCAGAAAAAAAAAACAATACATTTCTTCAGAAAAAGAAATAAAATAAAAGATTGAAAGCGCTCATACAGAAGAAAAATCAGCGCAATATGAGCAGATAAACAGACAAGAGAGTCTTGTAATGGGAGTGAAAAATAAAGCTGAATATACACAACTATGTAGAGAAGCCTTCTTGAAAGACGGAAAAGGAAAGAATCTGCACATTGTGAAAACCTATGTCAAGACAGTGCAAATCTGGGATAAGAACAATGACACTGGATTGTGAAAAACATCAAAGTCATCGAAGTTAGCATTATGAAAACTTTGTACTATGTGAGCGGTAGAGTGCTGAAAGAAGTTGGCGCGTACCTGATATGGTCGGTTTTCATTGATTAACCTATGTGGAATCCGACAATTCACACAATTGAGGAGTAAAGGGCGAGATTTCGCTACGCGGCGCCACATTATCATGCCGTGAAATAACTCCTTAACAAATAACAGATTAGCGTGATTGCGTCGGCAGTGAAGTGAGGGCAATGATAATAACCTGTCAGTGTTGGAACGAGATCCATAGGAATTTCTAGCAAAACAATGGTTGTAGATGCTTATCATTTTTTTCTGGACTCACTCAATGGCGTCACTGCGAGATTTAGCAATGCCATTCTAGATCACATATGCATACTCAAGAGGAGGAAGACATTTTACGGTCTCTAACTTGTGGAAGGTTGTAGGAGAACTGAATTCTCGACTGATTCTGCAGCCGAGAAAACGAAGGCCATGCAAGGGAGCTCGTTTAGTGTGGGCAGGAAAAATTTAGAATGCTATCAAAAAGAACACCAAGATCACTGAATTCATAGACCTTACATAACAATGCGGTATTGACAGAGTATGAAAATGACATAATGAATGTTTTGCGAGGTATACTCATGAGTTTAGCTTTTGAGGTATACAGAAAAAGGTTATTGTGTTCACATCATTAGGTGTAATAATAATAATAATAATAATAATAATAATAATAATAATAATAATAATAATAATAATAACAATAATAATAATAATAATAATAATAATAATAATAATAATAATAATAATAATAATAATAATAATAATAATAATAATAATAATAATAATAATAATAATAATAATAAATATCTTCAAACTAAGACAGAACAATTCTACAAAGACGAGTAATAAGTCCAGACATGAATAATGTCGCTACCCCAAGAGTGCGAAAGAAATGTCACATGGATCCAAGACGTATTTCGCTACACGAAACTGCTACAGTACACAAAAAAATGGCTGCTGCACTGCTCGTGTAGCCCAGTGAAACAGTGCAGATGATGCTTTCGTTCATCAGAATAATGCTTCAATGATTGGCTAGAACAGATGGCAAAGTGGCAATACCCGCCTTCTTCTTTGCACCGTCTTACATAACTGCGGTTGAATAACTGTGTCGGCAGCAGGGGCATAGCCATGCATTTGTTTTCATGGGGGAAGGGAGATACCGCATGTATATCTTCATCATCATCATCAACATCATCATAATCATACGGACTACGCCCACTTGCAGGGCAAAAGGCTCCTCCCATGATCAGCCAATGAACCAGGTCTTGTGCTTTCTGCTGCCACGTCATACCTGTGAACTTTTTATTCTCATCGGCCCACCTAACTTTCTTTCTCCCCTTCGTGTGTTTGCCTTCTCTGGGAATGCAGTCGATTACGGTCAATGACCAGCGGTTATCCTGTATACACACTTGCTACGTGCCTGGCCCATGTCCATTTCTTCTTCTTGATTTCAACTATAATATCCTTCACTCCGGTTTGTTCCCTGACCCACACTGCTCTCTTCTTCTCTCTTAAAGTTACACCTATAATTTTCCTTTCCATATCTCGCTGCACCATTCTCAATATAAGCTGGACCATCCTTGTAAGCTTCCAGGTTTCTGCTCCGTAGGTAAGTACCGGCAATATGCACCTGTTATATATTTTCTTCTTGGGGGTTGGTGGCATGTAACTTATGCAACGTGTACTAAACACTGACTTAAACAGTGCTTTTGAGCACTCTAACAAATAAAAAGTAGAACCTTCCACGTACAGAGCTTTGCCTTGATATTTGCAAAAGTCAGGCCAGTATCGTCGAGGTGACATCAATAAGACGACATATGCTGACTTTTCAGGTACCACGAAATATATTTTGAATACCCCTGTTCACCTTAACAAATTTCTCACTAGACAAAAGTTGGTCGCACTGCGTATGCTTGATAGTGATGCTATGATTCTGGGATGTTTCACGCTAATTGTATCTGTACTTCAAATGTGCTGCGCAACCCACATTTTGGATAACTTATTGAAATAAGCAATCGTTGAGAAGACATGGGGTTGCTTGGTTTGGTATACTTGGCGGTGCTTCATGTTTCGATCATCGTTAACGCGAGAGAATCTATCAGTGAGTAGATAGGTCTCATCCTTTTGCATTACTCAGTGCACATTGTGTTGTAAACATGGATTCAGAGAGGTTTCTTAAGGTGGTGTAACGTTGTAAAGTGGGTTGTAGAGGTGATACCACAGTTCTTATGCCGCATGGTAGCTTCTTTTTTCCTTCAGTACATGCACAAAGCCACGGGAGCTCTACTGTGCTATTTGAAGACGGCCGAACTGATTCACAAGTGTTCGTGATGTGCCAGTGCGAGTTCGTGCTATGTGTGTTCACAATAACAGTTTTTTTCGTCCTATCATTACTCGTGTTTTTTTGTGCCTATATTACCTACTTTTCTTTTTTTCTGCCCCCAACGGGTAGGGTACCCAAATGAGCCAAAGCTTCATCAATCTACTTTCATTTACCCTTTGGTCCTCTCTTCCTCACTCCTGAGTATACTCTATCATATTGCCGTGAATTGTTGTCTAGCATGGACAAAATTCCTAACCTGTCAGTGATGTAGCTTATCATTGTTCTAGCATCCTTAGTAGCAGCTACTTTCGATGGTTGGAATAAAGCAGAACAAGAAACATGTTTGCGAACAGATGGTTACCGAAAAAGAAGAAAGTGACGCAAATTCCTTGGAAATTCTACTCGCACACAACTAATATAGAAGTACTATGATCTACCCGGACGTTTTCTATATATCTGAGGAGGACCATCGGAGCAAACCTATGATCGCTTGGGGCAAAGTTCACTTCCAGTGTTCTGCCTAGCACAGCCCAAGGCAACAATGCATACCTTCTTTCACTCAACATTATTATAACTTAGGTGCAAGTTGCACATTACGAAAAAATGTAAAGGTTCACTTTAAGCGCATTTATGTGTCGTTAACAGCATTATGCTTGGAGGTCGAGTTTAATGAGGTGAGGATATGGCTCCGTTTCCTGCCCCAAACCCAATTCGCCACTGAAGCACAAAAGGAAAAATTCTTCTATTGGTGACTTTTTCGCAATTCCAAAATCACCACTCATGCCTCGAGGAGACTCTTAGTGAGAAAATATGCAGAAAGATCATGTGGGTGGTGACGCGGCCTTGAAATTACCGCACCTAACTTCGTAACGTCAGAGCAGTACAGTGTTTACAGAGTCCTACGAATTTTGTAATCAGTAAAAATGGAGTACATTGTCTCTTTAGGGGGCCATAGACTTAGCCTACCAAGTTTCAGGATACTTCCTCGAGCGAATGTCACCAAAATACGAAAAATACTATTCAAAATCTTAAAGTCGTGAGTGAAGATTCCGGCGCGAAATTAAATTGGGACATTTTCCTAACAATATACGTAAAGTGGTGAAATTAACAACCGTAAATTTTTTGGAACAGAATTTATCTGAATAATTGTTTCAATGCAGCGTCGCCTATTGTGTCACTTAAGTGACAAAATTAATTTATTTGGATTCATAAAGAGCTGTTTGAGAACTACAATGCCGGTAATGTTACCACCATCACTTCATTATTAGTGGAGAAAATCAAAGTTCAAAGTATAATTAAGATTTCGCCATGAAATCTACACGAATTACTTCAAAAGTTTTAAAGTGCACTTGCCGTATTTGGCCAACATTGGCTGGACGAAATTTTTATAAACTTGGTATGTTTTCTCTGGCTCCATAAGCTGCCATTGTGCCTCAATTTCACCTTCTAGGAGCTACGTAAGCCTTAGTAAACAGCATCTCCTTGCATCTTTATCTCTCTCTCTTAGTAAACAGCATCAAATCTTTTGACGTCACAGTGCTTGGTGCAGGAACTTCAAGGTGTCGTCACCACCCGAATTATATTTTGGGTAGTTTTCTCGCTAACCAAATGTCTTCCGGTGGTAAACGTGGTGCCTTGTAATTGTGAAAGGGTAATTTACTAACAACAGCAATATTGTTTTATATTTAGTGTCGCTTTATGAACGATGGTACTATCTTGAGAGTGTAGATATCATGCCACCTCCCTCCCAGTCGACTTAGGAGAATCCCCTGATTTTGCAGGTGAGCCTGGAGTACTAGTGTACCCCCTGCTTTTGGAAACGAGGAGCGGTGATGGGCAGAAGATGGTTCACTTGAGTGATGGGAACTTTGTTCACCTTCGGAAGGCTTCCGTATTGCACGATACACTGACGGTGTACTCCTACGAAAAGAACAAGCGCATCGTTCAAACGGTCGGTTAATATCGGTATTCTTTCAGTCATTGAAGCTGGCCATTACAAACAGCCTGAGGCACTTTTAAATTTTGCAAGAACAAAAGTGCGAACGTTTGCAACTTCTGGAACTGATATTTAAGACGGGGAAGCTTTCTGTTGAAGGGTACACATTTTTTTACTGCATGCGCATAAGCTGATACGCTACTCCTGTTTGTGAGGTAAGGAGCTAAAGGGGCCGTGGCACCCATTAAATCAAAGCAGGGCGTGGTAAGAATGCAGGAGCGCTCACACTTCTTCCTTGGTGGGTAACAAAACTAAATGATAGCGCGAGTGATACAAAATGTATATGAAGACAAACCTGGAATGACATTAATGATTCCCAGCAGCCGGTTTTACTTTCACAACGTCAACCACCGGTAATTAGCCGAAACAATGTGTAAAATCCAAAATGCCACCGCGATATACTGCCTGGTCAGAGATCGAAATGTACCTTTGACTCTAACTAAACTTAACACTAACGAATGTCTCTACCACCAGCGGTGAAACAAAAATGGCGTCTGCAATGTCGAGTTCATTTATGCCTTTTTATATTAGACAGTTTTTTTGAAAATTACTCATACATCTCCTCATTAAAGAAGAGGCCCTTTACTTACGCTGACGCTGCGCCCCATCCAATCTTTGAAATAAATAGAACAATAGCCCTTCATCTCATGCAACATCTTGTCCATAGATTAATGGTGTTAGCGAAGCAGTCTGACGCATGACAATGATCTTGAAAATGTTCACTCACCCGTTATGGTGGTCTAGTAGTTATGGCACTGGAGTGATGGTCCACATCATGGGATCGAATCCCGGCCATGGCGGTTGTGTTTTCAAATGAAGCGAAAATACTCGAGGCCCATCGGCCTAGGTTTGAATACAGGTTGAAGAACTCCAAGTGGTCGATGTTTGTGGAGTCTGCCATGATGGCGTCTCTCGTGATAATATTGTGGTCTTCGGGATGTTAGACCCCATCGTTTATTACTATTGTTATTAGTGTTCCCTTGCGCATAGAGTCCGCCCATAACGACGCATATGCAGCACGCGACATATTTTAGGTGGTAAACTTCAGTGATTTCCTTGTGGATAGTGTTAGAAGTAGTTTATCGTCAAAGTGATAAACGGGAGAACACGTATTGATACAGGCTTATTTGTATTTAAAGATATATATACTCTGCGTGTTGGAAACGACACGAGAAGATACATACACTGATTCCGCCTTATCGAAATACAAACGTGTCATTGAGTTAGATTCGGTCAGACTAGCACTTCACAATCTACCCCCTTACTGCCACCATGCTCAGTGACATTGCGAACTCGCTGTTGAATAGGAGAACTGAAGAGTAATTCGTGCAGTGTACTTTTTGTATCACTAGCGCATAAAGTATTACGAAACTCATGCATTCTATGCCACTCAAGATATAACAAATATTTGGTTTATTTCACTAATTGTGTCGCTTGCTTGCACCTGATGTCCAATTTTTTGGCTTTGTATGACAGATTGAATCCAAAAATATTGAAGAAAATCTCTTCGAAAACAAAAAAACTCTGGCTTCTCTTCTTCTCGAAGAAACTGATCACGGAATCGTCATGGTATTCTATTTTCATCTTCCGATATATTTAAGAAAACTGAAGTTAAAACAGACATATAAAGTTTTGATTTCTTTCTTCTGAAATTCAGGAAGGCCTCATTAATCACACGTACAGGATCGAACCATTAATGGAAGCTGAAAGGTCTGAGACTAAGAAGATAGCTCACAAACTCTATGTGGTAAAGCCACACGAAGCTTACTTCAATGAAACCCGTAAGACTCGATAAACATTTGCTTGAGTTAACGAAGGCTACAGCAAAGTGAAGGCGCCTGATTTAACCACTTCATCAGTTCCAGAATTCCAACCTCTCGCTGAGCACTTCAAAGTTGGTGAGTTTTTTCTTATTGTAATTTTTTATGGAATTCCATACACCAACAAAATATTCATTTCAGAGGCCAGGGCCGATGTTCCAGCCGTCTTCAGTCCTGACGTGTTTATAATATCAGACTACGAACACAGCAAGCAGTTTACCACCATTAAGAAGTTTCTGAATTACATCTTAGTGTTCTTTAATGGCGTAAGTTTCGAGTGAATCAATCATTTGATTTCACAATTTCATTTACCGGATCAATTTGTGATAGACTTTGACAGAAATATGTGTTTGCGAAATATCTTGTGTTTTGAGCTGATATGCACTCTCAATCACGTTGTACCAACACGCTCAATCCTGTAGCGTTCTAAGCTTTCCGAAAATTGTAACAAGCAAGAGTACAATATAAAACGTGCCCGAAAATCGTCACACTATTTCTCTTAATTTTAGAATACTCTCTGATCTAACTTACGCATCTCTCCATTTTCTTCTCCTCGCCGACTTAAGGTCAAACTCAGATACGAGACTGTAAATTTAGTGCGCATCGTACCAAGACTGGTCGGAGTGGAAAAAACGGAGGTACGTATGCTCTTTCTGATAAGCACTTCAAACTTAAACCTTTGTAGGCCCGTGGGTTCAGCTTTGGATGCACGTTAAAGGACCCCAGGTGGTCGAAATTGTCGGAGCCCTCCACTACGGCATCTCTCATAACCATATGGTGGTTTCGGGGCGTTAAACCCCACATATCAATCAATCAAACGTAAACCTTTGGACACTGACTCATATATCGGAGCGACTTTGTGACAAGATATTGCAGTTTCAGTAGCTTTATTACTTACGCTTATGTTACTTAACAAACATTATGTTACTTGTAACAAACATTACTATGTGAATCAATTAATTAAATAATATTCAAAATAAAATTGAGGAAATATTTAACTCGCAAAGTATTTTATGAAATAAATATGATGAACTCCAAGTCGAAAGACATCTATTTCATTTTAGTCAACGCAATGATTCTCATCCGCACCCTTCCGAGATAATTGTGCCTGAAACGTGCTTTTTCGCTACATCCAGAATCACAGTCTGATAGTCTCTGCGCCACAAGTGACACTGCCTCCGTTATCGGGTCGCCTTCGGCCAATCAACGATGTGACGTAATGATACCTTGATATGTCACGTCATAGTGATTTCATGATGATGATATCTGTGATTTCATCATGACGTCATGAGGTGACATCAAGGGACGGTGACTTTCGGCATCACTCGTGTTGGCGCTGACGCCGCCGGTATATTGTCGATTTTGACGAGGCATTCACGACGTTAGTCTTAAAGAGATACTATAAAAAATTGCAAGCTTGCCTAAATGAGTCATGACCCCTAATGTTTGGTCGTAATCTGTGTTAAGTGGATTATTTCTAGTGCATTCATAAATAGGCTGGTGAAATTTTAGCTCAGTTGGTCGAGCTCCTAATTCATAATTGCATATATTTATAAACACACGAGCTATTTGACAGTCGGGCAAGACTAGCGCACTCGGTAGCCGTGACGTAACAAGTAGTTAGCATTGGGAGCATGTCCACTCCGGTGAACGATATTGTGTCCTTGTCAGCTGCGCGTGAAATCAAGATATAGTTTATTCGGTTCGGTACTAAAATTGAATGATTCGCTACGGTCGAAACATCGGTGGAAGACGGCGGCTTTGCTCCTTACCACGCATGACGTGAGTTTGCGTAGCAACTCTACTTTGACTGAAGTTGCACGGTGGGCTTGTTGGTTATTCATGTTGTTCGAGGTATAGCGCATCCAGGACGGGACAGAGAAGAAGACACAGAACATATACACAGCGCTACTTTGAGCCCGCATTGTAGGATAGTTTGCAATGCCCAACTTCGGCAACGGTGGATCAGTGGCTAGGGTGCACGGCTGCTGAGCTAAAGTTCACGTGTTCGATTTTGGCAGTGGCGGTTGCATTGCGATAGAGGTGAAATGATAGAGGTCCGTGCACTTTGCGACGTCAGTGCATGTTGAAGAACACCAGATGACCTAAATATCCGGAGCCATTGACTAAGGCATCTATCAAAACCCCTCAGATTCTTAACATTGAATCGGCCAACGTTACTCGCATAAACGTGACTTTTTTGCGACAAGGTGGAGGTGTCCACTGATGTGTGAATTGAATTACCAATTTTAACGGGCCAGGTTATGCTATCACGTGGTGGATGTGTCCACCGAGGTGTGAATTGAGCCTATCAATTGAGAAAGCAAATTGAACTGGCCCGGCTACGCTATCACATGGTGGAGGTGTCCACTGATGTGTGAATTGAGCCTGACAATTGAGAAGGCGATTTGAACTAGCCCGGCTACGCTATCACGTGGTAGAGGTGTCCACTGAAGTGTGAATTGAGCCTATCAATTGAGAAAGCGATTCGACGCGGCTACGCTATCACGTTCCATTTTCGAAACCAAAGTCCAAGCGTCCTGCAAATTTATACTTGTAACGCTTTTTTGCTGTTTTATGTGCAGTGGGGTCGCGACACCTACGAAGTCATGTACGGAAAGGATATGATTGCTGAATATACTCTGAACAACTTTCAGTCGTACATTGAAACGCGCCTGAGTGAATTTGTGGGTGCCGACGCTGTTATGCTACTAACCGGGTATGTCTATCTTCACGGCCTTTTTTCTACATCGTTCTAACGCTATACGTTATAATGTATGCGATCTAGCACGCGATAAGTGCAGCCTATGCTATGTACAGTGCCATATTTGATAAGTTTGTTCTATTGTCCTGAATTGAAGAGCCGTACATAAATTACTTTATAACAGACATGCATAGATCTTCGCCAAGCATTACATCAAAACGTATGCTTGAATATCACCATGAAATAGCTCAGTGGCACTCCAGTACCACCATGAACTTCGTTACAACGTCACGTAAGGCACATACAGGAAAACGAGGAGCATGGTGCAGTGTGGTGGCAAACGTTTTGCGGCCTTTCGTTTGCGTCTAGTGTTGCGCTGTTTTGGAGTTCAAGAGTTCAACATAGTGTAACTAATCTACGTAATAGGGCAAGCCTACAAATACTAGAACAGCGCAGGATAATATCCAGATTAAAATTCGTCTACCAACTTGATCACGGGGACTTTAAATTATCACGGGAACGATACCTTCAGCAGCCTTCTAAACTTTCAGCTAGGATAAATCACAACAAAACGTTTAGACAGCCACCTAGCCACATTAATGCCCACAAGTTCGCTCTCTTTCCTCGCGCAATTTTTCATTGGAACGCATTACCTGCGGAAGTAGTGAATGCTGCCTCGACGGCTTCATTCACTCAACAGATAGAAAAGATTAATTTCACCATATAAGTGATGTATGCTGAAAATAGTGTCATTTGAGTGCAAATCATCCGGCTACAAATGTTGAAAATATTCTTAGTTGAGCGCAGTTCTGTTGAACAGCGAGAAAATATATTTGACTTTTCTGTACTTGATAGTTATGTATTCTTTCATTTATGCCCTGTACTCCAGTGTATTACTAGTTATTGCTTGAATGTATTGTTTGTATCCCACTCCTGCATGGGCCCGGGTAGGGCCTGCAGTATCTGTAAATAAATAAATAAAAAAAATAATGGTAACAGACCCGGTCTACTTACCGTCTTGGTAAACTCCAGTCCCTCCTTATTAACAGGCGTAGTAGACAACCCATAACAGATCCAACTAAGACCGCGCCATTGCTCGAAGCACGAGAGGTGCCGCATTTACTTGGGCGAATATGCAGCGTAGAGAAGTACATTTGCGAATTATAAAAAGGTTCCATTGCTCGTATTGACAATGCTTTACGTAAACCATGCCAGAATGTCATGAGAAAACTCCTGATCATTTCATTATCATCCGGTAGGCTTGAGCCCACTAGCGCGAGCACCAGAGTTCATTCACGAACAAACGCGGCCATCAGTGATAATACTCGAATGTTTGTTGCCGCATGTATGAATGCTGACGTGCATTGCAGCAGATCAGTTGATCGATGGCTGACGCACTGTTCGCTGCTATCAGTGCCAACGTGTATCGCTGTAACCTGACTTTTCGTTTACCGGTCACGAGCTAAGCCAAATAAACAGTTTCATCTTGGACGTTCAGTCTGCTGTCTTCGTGAACATCTTGACCACGTGACGATATCCTAAGCTTAAGTGCACGAGTGCTTGGCTGATAGTTTAAAGGCACGTGAGCAAGCAGATTTCTATTCTCGGTGACTCGTTATTTTTTGTGTGTTGTTCATTGCGGCACTGAAGTTATTCCAGCAGGGCGGTCATCGAAGCCGACTGCCGCAGGAGGTCGGTGACAATCGTAACAATATACGATACTAATAACTACTGTAGCTTGACATCCCAAACGACCATATAAGATACAGTGTCATAAAGGGTCCCAGAAATTTTTACAGCCAGAAGTTTTTTTGTGTGCACCTAAATCTAATCACAAGGGTCTCCAGCATTTCCGCCTCCACCAAAAATGTGGCCGCCGTTGCCGGGATTTGTTCCCGCGACATGCGGGTTAGCACTATAGCACCATAACCATTAGACAACCGAAGTGGGTGGTATCAGGATCTTCAGCATTGCCCTTAGCCATCACAATTCTAAGTTCATCCAGCACGTCAATTGAATCTCATGGTTGATGTTACCTTGTCCCCGTTGAGCTTCTTGGGCAGACGTTCCAGTTTTTCGATATCATCAGATTTTAATTCATTCTTACATCCCTCACATCCCAATGTAATGGATGTTCCATCTTTAGAGTGAATATTAAGAGTTCTATCTTCAGACGTGAGGGTGTGGGGTCAGCACGTGGTTTCTTGCAGCATTTTTTGGGTTTTTTTTTGCTTTTTCATTTTTCGTTTCTTTGCTCAAACATGGGATGTCATCTTTTTTGTAACATATACGTGTGCGCCTTAGTGGTAACAAATCAATTGAAGTCTGCACTCACCCTCGTCTGCTGTGTTCGTTCTTTTAAATTATAGCTCTGAGAAGTTTAATAAACGATTACCAACTAGTCCAATCCCACACTTTACTTCAGAGTGCTACCATTTCCTCAAAGCAGTGTAAGAATAGATGACATCGGTATGTTGCTGTGTACGATGAAGATATACGAAGAATGGTGATAACGCTTCCGTTAGTCATTATTACAAATTAATTTGCGATATACTGTTTTTCCCGCCTGTTTTATTTTGGTGCCCCGCCGCGGTGGTCTAATGGCTAAGGTACTCGGCTGCTGACCAGCAGGTCGCGCGATCAAATCCCGGCTGCGGCGACTGCATTTCGATGGAGGCGGAAATGGTGCAGACCCGTGTGCTCAGATTTGGGAGCACGCTAAAGAACCCCAGGTGGTAAAAATTTCCGGAGCCCTCCACTACGGCGTCTCTCATAATCAAACTGTGATTTCGGGACGTTAAACACCACGTATCAGTTAATCAATCATGTTTTGTTTGGTGTATAGCCATGTGTTTTTCTCATCAAAGAAAAACCAACCAATCATGAAGTTCCTGGTTGATACGAAAACACACCGAGTAGAGCATATTGCACGCAAGGGACTGAAAATGTAACGTTTCGCAATTTCCAACGTGTAACCACGACCGCGCTTTCAATCTTTCAGGCATTCCATGGTAAGCGTGAGTACTGGACGGATAAGATCAGGAGTAGCAGGTAAGTATCTACGCAGGTCGCATAACAGGGTTCGTAAGCATGCTTTATCAGAAACGAGAGTGTTGATTGTATATCTGAATCGTTTGTTTGTCTATACTAGATTGCGAGATACGCAAGCTGAACCATTGCTTTGACGTCACTTAAATTTTTTCTGCGCATGCATGCGTTGCTTTTTGTTGTGTTGCCTTTTGTTTCATTCAACTTCAGTTGTTAGGCAGTGTTCATACTGTGTCTTATTCTCGCGCTCCATGCCATTCGCGCTGATCTTTAACAGATTAATGCTTCCTAGTGTACAGCCGAGGCCACGTTTGTGTAAAGCGCGGAAGCAGCTGGTGGATGGATGGATAGATGTATGGATGGTTTTCGCTTTGCTGGGCGCCACCTTGTGGCAGTTTCGTACTCTGACATGTTGTGTCACGGCTGGGTTAAACTGCACCTGCGCGCTCCCTCTAGTTTAGCCGTAATTGTGTCAGGATCATGCGCGGCCTATACTTGTGCACAACTTTCTGTGGCAGTGAAGGGAAAGCTATGAGGGCGGAGCTACAGCACATGTAGTCCTCGGCGAAGTCCCACTCTACACGCTTTTCGAATGATGACCGTGTTCGAATAATACCACTGCGTAGAGTTTGCTACGTCTGCTTACACATCTATTTGTGAGTGAAATTTGGCACAAGCTCCTCCGGCGAGTAGTTGGAGGGCGACGAGCACTCCCCTAATTGTGAAGACACTATGTTAACTTTGAGGTGCACCTAAAACGTGCGACGTTTTCAGACGTGCCAAAACGTAAGATGACACTTCATGAAGCAAAAAAATATTATGTCATTGACTCGTGCTGCGTTTTTTTTATAAATGACATCCTGTAAAAAATTAAAGTAATGTTGTTTTGTGTTATGTCCACGCGGAAAACACAGACGCATTTGTGGGACTATATTCTTCAGTTGTGGCACACACTTTGGTACCGTAGCCTTCCCTTCATTGCCACAGAAAGTTGTGCCCGAGTATAGTAGTCAGGCTGGCCACGTCAAAGCCCGCTACTGCCTCAATGTGTCACCCCGCCGAGCAAACACCGGTTACTCGCGCCCTCTTGACAGAGGTGGCCATGGTTGTACACACGACTGTGCTGCCTCATTTCTTGTTTAGGATTAGCAATGACTGGAGGCATGTGCACGAGACGACGGGTAGCCGAAAGCTTGGACGTCGGGAGAGCATTTGCCGGAGTTGTTCATTTCGCCCACGAGCTAGCACACGTGTAAGTATGAAGTTTGAAATCGCATTTGCGATAGCCTTTAGCCATTTCACTAGTTCGTGCTCTTGGCTTGTTTTCTTGTATCCATGCATAATGTGCATCATTCTTTCGGCAAACGAGTTCCGCGGAGACTCGCAAAGTGGTGCAAAGGTTAAGAAAAGGTAAGATAGACAACCACTCGTTTGTAGCTCGAAACCACAGAGAACTTCGTACGCATTTCTTAGAAAGAAAAGCCTCTTTTCATAATACAAATGCGTGGTTATCTATTTTCTTTTTCCTAACGCACCCTTACTGTCCGTGGTCGCATCAATGTGTCTTCCGCACTTTGTCTTCTCTGTGCACATGTGTACGTGCAGTGTTTGTTAGTTTTGATTCTTTACACTACACCAAATATTTAAAAGTAGTCCAGTATAAATTGCGAGGAAGTTATCGTACTTATTCTGTAGTGTCCACACAGATAGTGTTTACACAGCGAGCAATCTGCAAATTCAGGTTCGCTACTTTATAATTTACAGTACCTTTTTCAATATTGTTAGCTAGATGAAACAAGTTTGTCGTCGAAGTCACCCATGTGCACTCCTGAATTTACACTCTAGCGTACCATTGCTATAGGAGCTACGCGTAAACGTCTTCAACAGCGGTAACCTATTTGAAAGTTAATTCAAATTCCAGGTCTTGCATGCCGAAACCGCAATATACTTTTTTGGTGTAGTGGGAGACCACGGATTAGTTTAGGCAATACGGTGTTTTCAGCGTGCACCCAAATGTAAGTGCACGGGTGTTTCTACCAACTTCCACTTTTGAAATGAAGACATCGGGTTCGGTAGTCTAACGCTCGGGGTTCTTGAGGTTACAGATCTACATACTTTAGCAGCAATATTGTATAATGGTGACGATAAGGCTGCTCATGATTATAGATAATACGATAATGAGGAGGACAATGACGACACAGCCCTATGTCGCTAAGGGTAAGCTTTCACAGTGAGTGCAAGTTGCGAGACAATGTGGTCGATTTATCCGAAGTGCGTCACAATGCCTACGTATTCGATCAGACAAATGTCTTAAGTACATACTGTCTCCTGTACCAGCGAGCATGAGTCGATGCGTGCAAATATCACGATTTTTATTCCAGGAAATATTCTCGGAAAGTGCAGCTGACCTGATTGTGACAGCAATGTGGCTTGCCATGCCGAATCACCAATAGAGTGAAGGCAGTGATACAACCTTTTTGCAAAGGGTATAATTTACCGACATATGCACAGCTGGAGCCAGATGACATCGCGACATAAAAAGACACTAGAAGTCTTGCAGCAACTAAAGACCTGTCAGTATTAAATGTTGCGCCTCCAAAGAAGCCCCACGTTCTCACAAAATATCGCGCTTTGGAAAAGAAGACAATAATTCCTCAAATATTGCTATTTGTTGGGCTCTGAACTTACTGCGACATTAGCGCTCTCTCACAGCAAGTGCTGCCAGTTTTTTTCGTGCCTGCTTTTTGCTTAGATAGCCAGGCTTATCCAATTTAGGAAAGTTGGCGAAAAATGACCGTTTCTCGTGCTTTGTTTAGAGTTGGATGAAACAGCGCATCACGATGAACGAAAGAAAGATTATGTTAAGGACTCGTTATTCTTTGTTAGACACACCATTATTTACAACTAGCAGTCAAGAAAGCCGACAACGCACTGTTGCTAAGGCTGTCCCGTTCGGCGCATTTCCCAAAGAATAACCTTAATTTTGTCAACACCTTAACACACAGAAAGGTGGCCGCTTCAGCCGAAACGTTGTTTATATAGCATCCACCCACATTAAAAAAGTTAGCCGATCCTACGTACCTTCGGAATCGATGTTATGCTGTCTGTCTGTCTGTCTGTCTGTCTGTCTGTCTGTTTGTCCGCCTTTAACGGTACCCTAAACGGTACCAAAGTGGCCAAAGGATACTCCAAAGGGCAGAGCCCATTCGTAGCACCCACCAATATTGCTCAAGGTTCAGCGTTCATACTTGTGTGTTTGTCAATTAAAAAGCAATTATTGCGCATGTCTGAGGCACCATAACAACACGTCAGTAATATGTATGTGTATTTTTTACTTGAAAAGGCATACATAAGTAATTTTAAGGACCGTAGCGTTTATCATGCAGCGCTGACCATGCAACGCTTGCATGAAAAGGCAATTGTTTCCAACGCTCTGCTAAGACAATACTGTGGCAGCACCTACCTATCTCCTTGCGTTGTACACCTTATCACCTCAAAAACAGGCACGCACGCCGCGCGCTTCATTTTCTAGGATAACTGCCAGGTAGCGCTCATGTCTCACTTGTGACGTGACTTGATGCGCTCGTTCACCTCCGCTGCATGCTCGAGGCACTCTAACGCAGAGCTTCCAGAATACCATAATGACTTTCTTGCGCAGAACATCAAATAAACGTTTAGTTCACTCTCTCCAGACGCAAGACTATCGTCTTTCGACGACATTTGCAGTGTAACATGCAGATACGGGGTCGAACTTTTTTATTCAGTGAAGCGTTACGAGATGACGCTAAAGATATGTGCAAATGTTGTACGCACAGACATATGTTAAACAGTCGCACGTTTACTGTGATGGAACGAAGCCAACAGAACATGGTGTTAGCAAGACCAGAAGTGGTATGCGGATGTGTAGGGCTAGTGCGAGCGAAGATGGCGGCCCTGTACACTTCTAGATAAATGAGCTTCAGTGAATGGTGCTTCACTACATACGTCGTTAACTCAACGTGACAGCTGTATGATAGGAGTACGTATGTACTCTTTATACGATTGGTTAGCAAGCACTGCAATCGCAATTGGCGTTTCATGGACATTACTGTCTATTTGAAAATCAGTCCTATACCTGGCGTGACTCTGTGATAGAATGATTGATTGCCACGCAGAACGCGGGGGTTCGATTCCTGCTAGAACCATGACATTAATGCTATGTGTTCGTTGGGTAAAGGCTGCCGATTCCAGTTCTTGGGGGGCGAGGCTCCTTGGGGTTGTCGTACTTGGCGTACTTCACGCCCCACAAGACCCAAATCGAAATTGAACACCTAGAAAACAACAACAAAAAAAAAACGTAGGCACATGTGTAAACAACCAACTTTATGTAAAATCAACTATGCGAAAGCAGAATACATGATCACCCGCGCCATCTATCTGTCCTTCCGTCAATCCATTCGTCCGCTTGCCCATCCGTTCTTCCATGTATCTCTCCGTCCGCCCATCCGCCCGTCCGTCCATGTATACGTCCGCCTATTTGGTTCGTTCATGCGGACATCTGTTCATTGGTCCATCCTTTATACTAGTCGGTGACTTGAACGTACACATTTTGGACCTTAAGACCTATAGCTTCGCCCACTCATCGTCATTCACTTTGTGGAGATGCACTGATTTTTCTTAAGTCTCTCGAATTAAAATTACCAATATCGCTTCACGCCGTTCTTTGATATAAACTGCCAATCACCTTCAGTACATGCGCATAAATACATTTAATCTTTACCCGACGTGATAGCTGTATCGTAGGAGTACATATGTAGTATTTATAAAATTGAAAAACCAGCACTGCGATGACAATTGGCGTTTCATTTTCATCAGGGCCTATTTAAAATATAGCTCCTAAAGCTGGTGTGGCTTTGTGGTAAAATACTTCATTGCCACGCAGGATGCTAGGGCCTGAATGCGGCTGAGAACTTCACAATCATTCTTTGCATTCGTCCGGTAAACGCTGCCGATGTCCGCTTTTTCTTAACAATCAAGCGCTAAAAACGCGCATGTCTGTCCTCACCGTTTTAAGGTCAATCACCTGTGGCACATACCAACCCGCGGGTTTGTGCCACTGCCTAGTGAAAAGTGTTTGACGACGTACGCGACGGGATTGTGACGTTATCTCATGTCATGACGAGCGAGTTGTATTCGTCAAACCATCCTACCCTCCGATACTAATTTTGGTTCACACAAAATTTAGGGGGTGGTCGCGAGAACACCCAAACGTGGGCGACTATATAGATATATAAATAGATAGATATGCAGAGAGACGCCAAAAGTGCTTGCAGTGCGCAAAGAAATGCTTCGCATTTAGAAATTTCTCCGACACCCACATGGCTGTCGCACCGCGCTCCCTGCTCGCCCGGTAACGCATCACGGCCGGGCTAGCGGAAAGACACGACGCTCATGTATACCATCAAGCAGTGTTATATCTGCAACAATAAACACTGTGTGTGAATGAGCACAAACATTGGAGCTACTTTCGTGAGGCCGCTTTTCACTACTGCGTTGTACTGATTCTTATGACGAAGGAATCAATCGGGTTTTTTTCTTCGTTCAACCCTCACAGAATGGGATGTAGCCATGATCAAGCGGCTCCTGTGCCAAACATACCAGGAAACCGAGGCGCATACCACTGCCTCTGGAGTGAAGGTTACATCATGAGCTACGAGGTTACAGATGAGAGGCAGTTTGCCTTTTCGTCTTGCTCTCAGGAGCAGTTCCTTGTTTTCATAAGGTGAGAGGTATTCATGTAAGGGTGGGCTGAAATCGCCTTCACAGGTGGTATTCAGATCCCTGTGTTATCTTGAGATCAATTGTCCCCTTTTATATCAATAGTTCTAGGATAGCTGTTGGCCATCCTTGAATGTGCGTCAAAAAAAAAAAAACTTTCAGCTTCCTGGTAGACATGGTTATCACTCATGCAATACTGGCTTTCCGGCAGGCGCATAGTCAGAAAGTTTTGGGGGGGGGGGGGCACCTTGATTTTTTTTTTTGGGGGGGGGCACATCTGCGGGGGCACCTTGATTTCGGGAGGAGCACCCTTTTGAAATGGTAATTTTTAGCTCTTTATGCTATGACGGAAAAAAAGATGTGGGGGGCGGGGGGGGGGTCACGGGCCCTGTGCGCCACCTCCTGGCTTCGCTCTTGCATTTCAGTGCCGCACATATAAAAAAATTGTATCACTTTGCTGTGATGCCCAACACAGAATACATTTTTTGAGGGCAGTTAACTGGGCTATATGCTCTGTTGCTTGCCACTGTAAAACGTCTTGAGCTATGCACTCGAAAACATGCGGAACCACTTGTTTGACCTAACTTTATGCAGAAAAAGCACTTTACAAGAAATTATGTTTAAGTTTAGAAAAACGTCAGCACTGGTACTATCATTTACATACGCGGTAACTCTATAGCACAATGAAACAAGCTGGAACGCTGTGTATTTGCTCACCAATAATATTACCTTGGTACTGTCAATGATTCTAAATATGAAATCGCGGTGTTATATCCCCTACTCTTACGCATGCGCCTCCCCCTTTTTCTCCAGAGTTGGTGGCGAAGGCCACGAAACGCTTCCTCACTAAAAGGGCGGTGTTCACCCCCCCCCCCCCTGCACGCGCGCAGCCTCCTTCCCTTATCTCTCCTCTCCAATGCTCCCCTCTCTCTGTTCCAAATCGGCGTCGAAGGCAACGAAACACTTCCTCGGTGTACGTGATCACTTCGTAGCTGTTGATCGTCAGTCTTGCGGTGTTTCGTGTTTCCGTGGGACAGAACGCGTCTGCTTTGGTTTGCACAGGGTTACGTTCGATGTCTTTGGCATGTGCGTTGAGAGACCAGCTGTTTAGGAGTGTTAATGGTAACCGGCAGTGTTCACGGTAGTGGTCACCGGCATCAAACTATGGTCACTGACAGCATCACTCACGTAGATGTTCTGAATGTTGGTGCACCTGCTTAAGGCGGCATAGACGAGCTTCTGTGAGTTCCGTTCCCCATGTCCTTGCTCTTTCGCATCCACACGTGGTTCTCTTTAACAGAGGTTGGCGTAATTTTTTCCTTTCTTTCGCATAACGAATAACAGCTTATGTGACAATGTGTGATAGGGGACAAGCGTTTCACGTATTTGTAAGCACTCGTCATTACTGTATGACAAGCTTGCATAAATGCATGCCTCTTTGCTGTATGCCCGAGAGTGCACCATGAATGTGGCTGCAGTCGTGAGTAAAAGAAACCTAACACATGTGCAATATATTTCCATCAGAAGATCCTAACACTCGCACATTTCCATGTGATGCACCTCGCTTGTTGGTTGTTCTCGTGGTTGTTAAAATTTTTCTTCAATATATTTCTGCACACGCAGGTATATCCCTCAAAGATGCATAGACCATACTTGGAATAGGCAATTGCCGAAGCCTTCAAGTAGATTGCCAGGAGATACCATGTCTCGGGACAAGTTCTGCCGTAGGGAGTCTGGCTTTTCGGATTCAAAAGAATGCACCGTAAGTTTAGTAAGCCAACTCTTGTAGAATTAGATCCACATCTCACACAACCAGCCATGAGATATCGAAGACGAAACTCGTTGAGTTTTTGCCATCTAGTTTTATTGCAACGGTAGAAAGTAAATGTTGGAATAGATTCAATACCATTTTAATTTATTCTATAGATGGAACAACGTTTACGTGTATTCATATGAAATATGGAATGGTGTTAAAATTGTTCAATATTTTCACCGTGGCCGTGAAGGTGCATAAGGCTCCAGCAGAATTCGGAAATACGTAACTCTTTGGGTGAACTTGTGGCCGGGAAAATGGAAGCTCAAACTACTGCAAGAAGTATACTCTTTACACTGATATAGGCGAACGAAGCGGCCAAGGGCGTGGACTTTTATACATTCATCGTATCAGATTTCAGCGTTATCGCTAGCAGCCGCGTAAGCTGCAGAACTATAACTTCGATTTTCGCGTCGTGCTCGTAATCTCATTGGAAGATTCTAACATCTTATAGCTCCCAGTCATTCGCACACGCTTTGCCCAAGGCAACAGTTCCGTTGCAATGTGGTGGTTACATGGCAATAGAAAGAAAGAAAAGCACCTGTGGTAGAAATATTTGTATCTAAATGTTAAATGATAGTGATTTCGTTATTGACAGTGTCTTTTACACGGACACTGATAGTTATTAGGTAGGTTGATAGACCTGTCTTTCACGTGTTTCACTTTGAACAAAGCTCTCATGCGCGAGCCGAAATCTGATTAGATGTTTGCTAATATTTCAGCAACCGCTTCTGGATGCTTTTGTGAGCAACAAACATTTTCATTTAGTGTAAGTGGAAGCGCTACTTGTACAAGGATTCCTCAGTTATGCGACTCGCTGGCTTCTAGAAAGTAACTTTTTACAGCTTGTAGACTTTAATAAAATATTCCCGACGAAAGTTGTAGCTTTGTTGTCGATGTCTTTCTTTAACAACAAAGCTGTACTGATAATGAATATTTTGTATGCCTGTATTGGTAACAAATATTTTGTATGCATGTAATGGTGACACCATCCGTCACCGCTGTGCGCATACTTGACTGTAATAGTCAGAGATGTCGCATTGGTTTTTCGCTAACGTTTACATTTTCCTAAAAGCACATTTTCCGAAAGCACACTTTCCAAAAAGCTGATTTTTTCGTATTAGTAGACTAGTTTTTCACTATACCAATTTCGCCATGATTGCCTCGAAAAGGCACCTTGTACGCGAAAAAAAAAAACGGAAAAAGAAAATGCTGTTGGCGGCGCCCCCTTGAGGTTGCCACACCCATCGGCGTGACGTTGTAGATTTTAACTGTACCTACGTAGCTCTTGATCTGTCAATATGAAGGTGACGTTCCTCTGAGCGGGCGAGACACTTAGCATACAAAGTTTCAAAAAATTCTGGCGATTCAGTGTCGCCGAAAATACGAACAAAATATTTTGAAATCATTATTTTGTGTGGTGCCATCACTCCGTGAAGTCGCTTGCGCCTCAGTGGCACACACGTGTCTCACGGATCAGCCGCACTGAGAGTTAAGAGCCTGCTGCGTGGTAGGTGGCGCTCCGCTCGCAAGTGGGTTCACCAATCATCACCATGGTTAGCGTAGTAGTGCTAGCACTGCCGCCCTGCGGTGAGGCATAGGTGGCCGCACCGAAAAGATTCGGGACTATCTTTCATGTGTCGGGGCTGGCGCGTACTGGTCGTCTCCCGCGGTGGGTCCATAGGAACGGCGTCGCAGATCATCTTCTGTCGGCCCTTCGTGGTGGTCGAGCCATGGTGAGGCCGCCTTTCCGTTACCCTGTGTTTATTTTTTTGTTTGATTGAGTGTATTGGAATGCTGTATAAAGTTGTTTAGCATGTTGATAACTAGAGACGTATTCACTCGGCTGGCGAAATCGCAGATGCAAAAGTAACTGAATGAACGTGATGTTTTGTTGTTTTTTTTTTTGCCCTGCCGTGGTGGTCTAGTGGCTAAGGTACTCGGCTGCTGACCCGAAGGTCGCGGGAATCGAATCCCGGTTGCTGCGGCTGCATTTTCGATGTAGGCGAAAATGCTGCAGGCCCGTATGCTCAGATTTGGGCGCATGCTGAAGAACCTCAAATGGTCGAAATTTCCGGAGTCCTCCACAACAGTGTCTTTCATAATCCTATGGTGGTTTTGGGACGTTAGACCCCACATATCAATCAATCAATTCATGTTTTGGTTTGCACGACTGTGCTTACTGTGTCCGTTTGTTCCGAGAGCATGGCTCATTTTGAGACCCCACGATGTCACGTCCCGATATTTTGTCGTGATATTGAAAATGAGACGTTGACCTCAATTTTCTTCTCTCTTGGTAAGTACATGCGAGCTAAATGAACTACAGAAGAGTTTTAAAAGTATATTTTAAATCAGTTTATATGGTGGATATAACTATAGTTGTGCCACTACAGCACAGCGACATGGCAGACACGGACAAGCACAGTCTATTAACTTTTATTGTTCCTTAGAAAAGCAATCACTCCAGAGTAGCATTGAAGCAAGCAACACTGCTATTATTACATGAGTTGTACTTAGACCGAACGCAGATATACACTGATGGGTCCGTCTCGTCCAGCAGCTCATCAGGTGCCGCTGTAATTCCGGCTGCAGCAATGACAATCAAGTTTAAGTTGTCGCATATGACTACATCTACGGCATCAGAGCTTGCTGCTATAAGGGCTGCTTTACAATATCTCGTTCAAGAACGTCCAGGAAAATGGGTCATATTCTCTGATTCGAAGGCAGCGCTTCAGAGTTTGCAGTCTGCCATGCGTAGGAGGAGTCATGACCAATTGGTACAAGAAATAAGAAATTGCCATCATGAAGCTCTAGCACGAGGGCATGATATTATATATCAATGGCTGCCTGGATATATTGGTATTACCGGAAATCAATTAGCCGATGATGCAGCCCGCTCAGCCCATGAAGGAACCCGTGTATTCTCGATTCCTCTATCAAGGAATGATGCAGCAAGACAACTTTACCTGCTGGCTCGAGATGTCAAACGCACGTTCTGGTCGTCTACCCGCTTCCAAAGGTGTCATTTTTATGAACTGGATCCTTCGCTCAAGCTAAAGCTACCATCACAACTTTCCCGCTCCGATGCGACACTGTTATGCCGCCTTTGGTTGGGTGTTGCACTTACAAAGGTGTACTCCTTTCGCATTGGTATGGCAGACACTCCTACATGCGACTACTGTGGAGCTAAAGAGACCATCGAACACGTCCTGTGCAGCTGCGCTTGCTACGACACACAGCGATGTCAGCTCCGGATGGTTTTGAATCAACTTGACCCCGGACCATTTTGTGTGCAGAAGATACTAGGACCTTGGGCATCCGCCTCAGTTGCGCAGAAAGCATCTAAAGCACTGCTACTTTACCTAAAGTCAACAAACCTGAGCGACCGCCTGTAGACTGTGTGTGCTCCCCGAGTGTGCTCGTGATTGTGTGTACCTTCTCATCTCTCTGCAACCTCTTTTCTCCCCTTTATCCTTTCCCCAGTGCAGGGTAGCAAACCGGATGTGCGTCTGGTTAACCTCCCTGCCTTTCCTTGCATCTTTATCTCTCTCTCTCTCTGTATTGTTCCTTAATGTCATGACCACAGGCAGCATTAAATTTACATTTAATTATGTGAAAGAAACGCCTAACTGTTTTCACAAGTGGGGTAACAACGTAACGCTACTCAAAATAATGACTACACTAGAAAATCAAGTACGAGTTATCCAGCAAGTAGTTCAACTGGTCAAGTGCTATGTGCGTCAAATGAGGCCCGAACAGCAACAAGCCTTCACGAAAGCATAGTGGGCGCTGTTCACTCATCACTATGGTCTGGCACGCGTGTATGCACACATAGCAGCTGAACAGGATGCGTGCCTGTTAATGGCGATATCTGGTGATTAGAACTATACTATCTCATGGGCTCGCCGCTGTTCGGGTTTCATTTGACGCTAAGTTATGTCATTGTAAAACAAAATATGAGAACACCTTGCGGGTTGAATAAAGCCAAGTAAAAAAAAAGAAACAGCGAAGAATGCAGGAGGTGACAACGTGGCCAATAACCAGAAGATTGATTCCTGTGAAATTATGCATAATGATCACAGCTACTTGCTAACGCATATGGGGTCCCACGTGTTCACTGCCTTGTCCTATGGTATCCTTACTTATTAAAAAAAGAAGTGTTACTTGCAGTTAGAATCTTACTCTGGAAAACAAAGTAATACCTGTGTCACACGGGCGCGCAAAAATTCTTTCAAGTAAGCGGTCTTTTACGAAGTTGAAAGACTTTTAACAAAGAGGTGTTGCGGCGCAGACACACGGCAGCAACGATCTCCTTTTAGTGTTTTCGTTCGAAGACGCTAGCGAAAGCGTGGCGCTATCAGTTAAAAGAGAAGCAATGAAAATTAAACGATGTATCACGCTGTACAAATTAAAGACTTGTTGCACTGCTCGTTTCTTCAAATAAATTTAAGAATAAGAGATGAAGAAACACCAATGTGAAAGTTTGTTGCACTAGTTAAGGAAGCGTCCCCATAACAAGCGACGTGCACAAGTCCGTCTGGCGCCACTGGGCTTTTATTTACCGTATTTGTTTTTCGCTGCTCTCGACTGCTCTCGACACGTTATGGGCGACCGTACGGAAGAAAAAGCGAGGATCGCAAGCCTCACGGCCTGCCTTCTCGCTCTGGAAAGCGAGGCAGACGCTGCAAAAGCCGCCAGAGAGAAGATCAAGCAGCAACTGTTGTTCAGCAATTCCTTGCTGTGCGCATTGGAGCTGTCGGAGAAGGCCTGCGATCGACCGATCTGGGCCTTCAGACGAAACGAGAGGTGGTTCGAGGGAACTGTACCTCACCTCGGTGAGCAGAACTTCAAGCAATCTTTTCGAGTGTACCCGTCCACCTTTCGTTTCATTGTAGAGAGCTTGCGCAGTGAGCTCGAAAGACAGGGCACCAGGATGCGTGAAACCATCACTCCTGAGAAGCGAGTCGGCATTGCCCTATACAAGCTTGACCACTTCAATGACGGGCAAACACATGACTGGCACGCTTTCCTTGCTTGTGCAAAATGGCTCGGCACGAGACCGAGCGTCGTGATATTGCCGACGCGTCGTAGCTGCTTACGAAAGTAGAAAAAGGAAATAACCATTAAAAAGAGTTCATTACACCTTCTGCAGGATATGAAATTTGTTTTTACAAATAGTTTTGGTGACACAAAAATAAGAATTCGCTCTTTTTTCCCACCACTCGAAGACTGCTGGTGCCCACTGGTTTCGAGGCTACTCATTCTGAGTCATAAAAGAGATTGAAGAACTCCGTTTACGAAAAAGACCGCTTCTGAAAAGGAGTTCGCTCTGTGCCGTGTGTCTGCTGTCAGGAACTCCTTTTCGGAAAAAGACCGCTTACTTAAAAGACTTTTAAGTGCCCGTGTGACAGGGGTATAACCACGCCTTAAGTTATTCTGGTGCTTATTGCTGCCTTCGGTGCGACTTAGACTGTCGTTTATAAAAATTAGAAAGGTGTATCCACCGAAAAACAGTTACTTAAGTTTGTACTCTCTCGCATCAAACGTAATTGAGCTTACTAGGTAAAACTGATGGCACTACTTGCGTCACCGTGTACGGAACTTCAGTTCATGTACCTTAATGAATGCAGTTCATATGTCCCTTGCAGTGTTCAAGTTAGAAACGGAACGAACCTGACGATGACCACAGCATAAGAAATAGTGAGAGGCCTACCGCTCTCTCATTTTTTTTTTACTGGATGAACACCCATGAAGACAGAATCAGTAATTTCTAAAAGCCTTAATGAAGAAGATTCAGTTTGTGAGAAACACCCAAGAAATTGCAGCAACAAAAAATAGACCAGTTTTCCTAATTAGAGCAACAAACACTGGTTCGAAGAGACAAACGCCGCAGGTAAATCTAATAAGCTCAAAACAATTCACAAGAAAATAGAGTTCTTGGCTTTATGGTTTGCAGCTGCAGGCTTGAAGGTTTGATTTTTGAAATTCTCAGCTTTGGATATGTGACCATTGCATCAGTCAAATTTTTGGCTGTTTTATTGTGTAATGCAACATATCATGTGAATTTTCACTGTTCTAGGAAAGACATGGTGATGATCTTTGCAAGATAACGTGTTGTCCTGGAAAAGACATCTACAGGCGAAGCGTTCAACGGACTGAATACTGGTGCCTAGATGGAACAAAGTGTGGTTCAGGCAAGGTAAAGTACATAATTGAGAATGGATATTTTTATAGGCTCCACTACGACCGCATTATTTTTTTAGTACCTGAAAGGCTCCATTTGGGGTATTACACGAGGGATGGGTATCAGTTACAGAAAAGTTTATAGAATAGATGGAGGGATACATTGCCCACAAAATGGATACGTTGGTTATGGTCAATACCATAACACAACAAAGCGTAACAAGAACTTATCAATATTTAAATTAAATTGAATGTTAGATGTTTTTATGTGGGTCTTTCCAAATATATGGTACAACCAAGGCTCGATGCATAGTAAGAAAAGCGGGAATGCCTGACATGCATGCATGAAATGAAGTTTGCTTGTTAGTCTAATTTTGTTTTTGCTTCGTTATAATTTGATTCGGCACTCTCCTCCCCCCTTCTCTTATGTGATCTTGTTTAGGGAATTCACCTGAAAAACCATTCGCGTGAACTGGATCAAGTTTTTTATTGGACATAATGACTTGCCGGTGTGAAGCGGCGTATGAATTTGTTTTCGGTGAAGCATCGTAGCCTGCACCCTTGTCTGATCGGTGTCAGGTCGAGACGTAGAAGTGCCTGGAGTCTTTATATAAGTTTGCGGTTTGGTCGTTATGCTAGGTAACCGTCACACTAGCGGAAACTGAGTCCGATGAAGCACACATCTAGGTTAGCTTTATACCCACATGGTCTACGCATCCACCGCTTCATATCCTAGATTCTCGGACTCAGTAGGTACCAACGCAATGTTTATAAGCCTGTATTTTTATAGTGATATCTTAACACTCATTTCGTCTTTACGCTTACAGCTCCCTCAACTAAATTATATAGAATTAAGTTTCCCATACCAGGTTCATGTTCTTTATTAGGGGATTATGTCTGCTTTTTTTTAAATATTCGCATATGTCCGCTGCATATTCGAAACCATTTAAGCACATGCTTATTTGCTTCATTACGGAACAATAGTGCGCAATATGCGTGGTACACGCAGAATGCACAATGAAATACCTGGTAATATTGTTCATGTAGAAAGGTTTGTTTTATTTCTACAGGAATGCTACAACGGCTACTGCAGAACGAAGCGAAGGGAGTAAATCTGCATGAAACGCATAACGACAGCAACAAGATAACTATGACTTCCAAAGGGCTACATGGTTTAAAAGCATTTATCTGTTTATATAAGAAATGTGCTTCTATCACTACTAAAACTTTGCCAACATATGTACAGTATCATTTGCTCTTTTTCTTTTAGTTTCAAGAAGCTTCTTTCGCTAGTTGTCAAGAAGGTTAGGAGAAGCGTGAATTTTATAAGTCAGACACTTAGAATTGCTAATCTAATTAGGAAAGATCCGGGCTACGAATTTACGAAGGTCACTCGCGTGGTCGTTGAACAGGTGAGCATAAGCTTAAAATACTCAATGTGTGACAACATCTGGGACCAAATAAGATTACAAGGTCCATTATATGCATTTAACTAAGATTAACCTATAAGGTGAAATGATCAGCGTTATCATCAGAGCTTCAAGGGTGGCATGATTTTCGTTACAACTCGCTGCTTTTTCAAGGCTAGCATTTCTACTGGTGCCTTCGTTGGTGTTGATGATGAATAAGAAGATGATGAAAATGATCATGAACTTTTTCTAGTGCCGCCTTTTGAGGTGACTGAGAGTGGCCCCTCTCAGTCATCTCTCGTTAAGCAATTCGCACAGTGTGACATCTCGCGTGATTCTATATATGCCGATAGTTATAGTGGGAGAACAGAACGACGACACAGAGAGAAGGACACGAAGGACATGAGCGCTAACTTCTGAGTTTATTGCGCAGAGCGCGAAAATACATAGAGGAGACAGTAAACCATGTGACAAAAACCATGTGCACAAAGAGCAATACATTAGTACGGGGAAAAAAACAAAAGCACAGAAAAAGGCGGCCACTATTAGGAATAGTATGGCAAAATCCAACAGCAAAAAAATACAGCACTTTGATGGAGTGAACAATGATGAGTGGGACGAAGCGTCCGTCCGTCCGTGCTTCGTCTGTCTGTCTGTCTGTCTGTCTGTCTGTCTGTCTGTCTGTCTGTCTGTCTGTCTGTCTGTCTGTCTGTCTGTCTGTCTGTCTGTCTGTCTGTCTGTCTGTCTGTCTGTCTGTCTGTCTGTCTGTCTGTCTGTCTGTCTGTCTGTCTGTCCAGCCTGCCCTTTAGTCATAAACTATAAAAATACCCTACCGCCATCTGGCGACCTTATATACAATTTTACTTAGACAGACAATGTCATCTAGGGAGTCATTCCTAAGCTAGAGCTGGCTACATACTATGTACGGTGGAGGGAAGGACTCACACTCTAAGGAGCTTCGTCCCTAAACCCCCAAAAAATAATTTCGAGAATAATGATGAGGATGATTTCTTCAGCCTTTTACCAAGAAGCCATGACTGAGCTTGACGGCGCTAAGAAGTTCTGTGAAGCAGTGCACTAGAAAATGTATAGCAATTTGAAGAAACCAGCGTGTAACATTGCTCCCAACGATGTTGTTGGGCACGTGGATATGTTGATCAGTTTTACCGCTCCATGGTCGGCGGCCCGCGCGATCGTGTGACAAGTACTTGAATAGAATTAAATGCAGAGGCTTTCAGCATGCAGTTTGGGCTCTTTTCGTTGATTTGTAATTCATTGGTGGGTAGCGCACAAATTTAAAATACAAAAGTTGTTACCATTCAATCGTTAGAGCAGCGCTTGTCCCGTTCCCTTCTTTCGTGTTTTATCAATTCGTGCACTAATAGTAAGTTCCAACTCGCCCACCTTTCAGTTCTACTACAGTCAATTTTACTGGAAGCCAATGACGACCGAGAAATTTGATCTAGATCAGTCGCGATCGCTATCAACAGACGAGAGTGCGAGTCCGGCAATAAGCAAACTTTACTACGAGTCATCGTCAGAATGGCAATGTCACGATACCAATACCTGTCAATAACGTCTGTCAACATATTCTTTAAACAGATGCGTTGAACTTCTTGGTGTGTTTGCGGGGAAGGGGGAGGAGATGGGGGAGGGTAGAAAAGGCATGCGTGCGCCTTTTCAGTTCGATCTTGGATGACGTCTTCAGTATCGTGAGCATTGTGAAAATTGGTGGAATAAACAGACATACCATAAGAGGTAATGATGTTCCTTTATTATTTGTATGAAATAGTAAGAGCGTGTTTGTTGTTTCGCGATTTGATCAATCTGTCTCCCATTGATGTTTTTCGTTACTCACGCTAGCTGGTACGCTCTTTCGTTCGTGGCCAAAAAGACGTTAACACTTTTACTCGAGTAGACAGCGATAGTAAATCTGTAGTCACTTTACTTCAGCGCGGGAACCGCAAGTTGTTCGTCACGCTCTTGTGGTCCAGTCTCTCGTGGCTGTTCCACGCAGACGCTCTTTATGCACACCTGTCAAAATACAGAAGAAATGAAACAATGAAGTGATTCAAGCCTTTTCAAGCGAGCTATTATTAATTATAATCTGGCAGCACATTGACAATGTGACTGCGCGTCTCTCATAATCATATAGTGGTTTTGGGACGTTAAACCCCACATATCATCTTTTGGCACAACACTAAAACAATCAACGCAAATTCGCACTAACGGGGCGAGATGTGAATGAAGCGCGTATCCGAGTGGTCCGTCTTTTCATTTTTCTCTTGTTTGTCTATATTTTTCATGCCTGTTTATTACTATTTCTTTGGTGGTGCGTTTGATTCCGACTGCGGCAGTTGCGTTGCGATGGAGGCGACATGGTAGAAGCCAGTGTAGTGCGCGATGTCAGTCCAAGTTAAAAAACCTCAGGTGGTCGAGATTTACGGAGCCCTCCACTACGGCGTCTCTCAAAACCACATCGAGGTTTTCGGACGTTAAACACGAGATATTCCTATATTATTGCTATTTATTTGTTGTTTTTGCGATTTATACGCTTCTTTCTTTGTCTTCGTTTTTTTCCGAACTTTTTAAACTATTTTTATTTTGCTCTCTCTCTTCTGTATCTCTTTTATTGTATGTGTTTCTTTCCATGTCTTTGTCTACTTCTTTTTCTGTCTGCCTTTCTCTCCGTTCTTTGTTTCTCGTAGTTTCTCTGTCTCTATTTTTCTATATTCCTTCTCTTTTGCCCATAAGAGTAAGTGAACCTCACATCGGTTGAATGGACGCACAAGTTTTTTTTTTCCTTTTTTTTAAACAGATGCTTCCACACTTGCACTACTGTCTTATTTATTTCACTTTTCCTGTTTAAGCTTCTCTCAAAGCTACAAGAATAATTATGGTTTTCGGATTTGTTAAACCTCACAAATCAATCAATCAATTAATCAATCAGCAAGAGTAGTTTTTTTTTCTTATTTCTACTACTGTAGCATACAAGTGGCTATTGTGGTTATGTGAATTGTGAGTCGCAAAACGCTCTGTTGCGACTGTTCTCTGGGTGATGTAACCTAGACAGACACCTTTCGGGCCTTTTGCTGTGTCTCCTAACACAACTGTTAATTGTCTTGAATAAAGTCTCAATGAAAGAAAAAAAAAGGCCGAAGATGAAGACGACGAAAGGAAGGGTGAAGGAAGCGCAGGCTAGAACTTTTTTTTTGGACGAGTTGGTATGCAAGTTTGCTGAATGCGTTATTTGCGGTACGAAAAAATAAAGACTCGAACGGAACAAACACGGATGAGCCCTATCTCCTAACTGCTCACTGACAGCAAAGACTGAAAGCCAGGAAAACTTTTGAGCATGCGCAGATGCGTGAAGAAGCGACGTCGTGCATGTTATTCGAAAACTTGTGCATTAAAAATTGATAACTCGAATACATATAACAAACTTTATATAGGGGTCTGCCTGGCATAGGCAGACCCCTTTTCTTTGATGTTAAACGCTTATAACAGCTCTCTCACCGTTTTGAGGAAGTAAAGATCAACTGACTATGGAGCTGTTCTGTGGATCGCCTGTTTTCTGTACATTTCGCTCCCAGAGATGGCGCGTGATCGTAAGCTGGCTTGCAGTATAAAAAGGAAAACAAACTAGCACAACGAATGAGTTATACAGGTGAACACAAGTGCTGTCAGTCTGAGATAGGACGCGCAAGGACCACTTGATCGCATGTGCTGTCGTCGTTGTTGATCGTATAGTAAATAGGAAGGTGCAATAACAACTGCTAGATATAGAACACAAAAAGAATGTAACTGCGAAACGTGTGCATGTTGTCTACTGTTTTAATCAAATCCTGCCTAATGTGCTGGACATATCCAAGAAATCGGACATTTTTTTGTCTGGCTTCCTGGATATAGCCACCATTTAGCCAGGACCTGATGATCAAAAGTTTACATACAAGATAACACTGTCATTCTCGCCAGAAGCAGAGTGTAATCTACAAGATCAATAAGATAAACCGATCGCATTCTTTCTGCCGGCAACTATTGTGTAAGAAAGCAGGCACTACCAATGTCTGCTATAGAAATCGAATATTGATAATAATCAAATATTGTTAGGTGTAAACCTAACAATGAATCCTACACCTTATGGGGAAATGTCCCCTTAAGGTGTATTGTTAGATTAGGACTGTCCCGTAGCACTGTTTGTGATCCCATGAATAATATTTTGTCGTCTAACGTGTAGCACTTTTGCTCGTCTGTTAATTCATCTGTTTTCCTCGTTTGTTTTGCGCGTTGTGTTGCAAGCCAATGTACGAAGAACTAACGAGTTCATATTGGTACTCCTTTCACGGAATCTTTTGCTGCGACAGCAATACATGTCCAGTTCTTGCCCCGCATAATTGTATTTGTGTATAGAATAAAGACGCAAAAAAACAAATCGGATAAAAAAATTGGCCCCGTATCTGCATGTTATTCTGCAAATGTCGTCGAGAGACGGTAGTCTTGCGTCTAGAGAGATTGAACGAAACGTGTATTTGATGTTCTGCGCAATAAATTCGGCGAATGGTATTCTGGAGGCGCTGCGGTAGAGTGCCTCAAACGTGCAGCGGAGACGAACGAGCGCATTGAGTCACGTTCCACGTGATACATGAGCGCCATCTGGCAGTTATCTTGGAAAACGAAGCGCGGGGCGTGCGCGCCCGTTTTTGAGGCGATAAGGTGCAGAACGCAAGGCTATGGGTAGGTGCCGCCCCCATGTTGTCTTAGTAAAGCGTTGAAAACGCTTGCTTTTTCGTGCAAGCGTTGCATTATCAGCGCAGCGTGATAAACGCTTCGGTCCTTAGAATTGCTTATGTATGCCTTTTCTAGTATAAGGGCACACATACAAAATATTGACGTGCTGTTATGGTGCCTCGGATATGCTTAATAATCGCTTTT